TCACGATCCAGGAAATCAGGCGACCCAAAAGATGACCGAACTATTGCTGCGCAAGCTCCCATTCCAAAGGCTAGCCCGCGAATTTGCACAGGACTACAAGACTGACCTGCAGCTGCAAGGAGCGACAGAAGCCTACCTGATTGGCATCGTTGAAGACTCTAACCTTTGCGCCATCCATGCCAAGCGAGTGACAATTCTGCCAAAGCACCTCCAGCTCGCCCGGCGCCTCCGCGGCGAACGTACGTACTTAGCATCATCGTGATCCATGCACCGCATCCATGACACGTCTTGATAACGCTCTTTTGTCCACTGCGCTCGTCTCTTGGACGGGTAATGGTTGAGTGGCTAGGGCTTATATCAACTGCTCCATGCGCGATGTGGACGTTTGCCGCTCTCTCGGCGGCGAGTTCGACATTCCATTATGTCCATGCCCTCTGCTCGGACTCCTGCAACCTGATTGGTCACATAATTTGAGTATTTGCACTTTGATTGGTCCATAATCCACCAGTCACATCGGACGGGAGCGGGATAAAAAGTCAAGCGGAACAACGGCGACTTGTCGTACGTACAATTCATGACGTACAGCATGAATACAAAAGACAAGTGAAAGAGGACACGTATTGTACACGATTTGTACAATGCATGTTGTACGCTCAGAAACCCCGGCCAGTTGGTGTCGTTCTGTCGTGACAAGCGGCGGTGTCGGTAGAAACATCGTCACACCCGCACCGCCCCTGCCGCCCAGGTCGATCCTTGACGCAACCTTCATGAAAACCAACGACGCAGGGGTGATGCGCGTGACTTCTGTAAACTGTACTGATGACTGTGCGCCGGTAGGCCACCACCGCGACCGACGAGTCTCCAGGGTGTGTTGAAAAGAGCAATCGGCGACGACAAAGGAGAGAGGTACGTGCATTCCACGACGCGGCACTTCGAAAACGAATCTGAAAATGAGCTCTTGTCAACGGCAGATGTCGTCGTGCTCGTCCAGCAGCAATGAAGATGAAATACGACGGTTAGCCTTCACCTCGGACCCCGACTACCACTCCGCGAGAACGTTGTTGCAGGTGCGTTGTTCCGTGCGTCCACCGGAACCCAATGGGTTTCAATAGCGAAAAGGAGATATCAAGGCCATGACGCATGCATATATGAGCCTGTTTGGCGATCAATTCCTCGCATTCGTCAAGGCCATGGTGGACGCTGAGGTCTCGCACGGTTCTGAAGATCAAGCTGCTGAAATGATACGCGGTAACACGCCTTGCATGAAGGTGCTTTCATCTTCTCCGCCCTATCCGTCTCATGTGTACGCGTGAAGATGCTCAGCGAAGTTGCGTACGTCGTCGGGACTGGCTACCTTCGCGACGTATTGACCGGCCCCATGAGCGTGCTCTTTCACCTACCCGAGAGTCTTGAAGTGAACCACGAAATCGTTCGCGATGAAGCTACCCTCGAAGCACATCGCGCACAGCTGGAATCTCTCGCCCAGGCGATTCTTGACAGGTAATTGCGCTGCCGATCGCTTCATCACGTCGTCCTTTTGCCCTGTCTACGTAGGCTGGTGCGGTCGCCGTTTCCACCGCTGCTTGCGTCCTTGTGTTTGTGTCTCCGTCGAAGTGTTGCGGCGCGCTTTCATGCGCATTCGGACTCTGTTCTCGGCGGTTTTCTTTTCCTTCGCGTCGTTTGCCCCGTCGTGGTCATGCCGTACCACTCGGTCGTGTTTCCCCATTTGGAAAAGGCCAATTTGCCGTCGCACGCGCGCCGGTCATCCATTCTCGTGGCCAAACTGCTTCAGAACCTCGTAAGTCCATCGCAACAACACGAATTTGATGACATTCGCTGCAGGCAAACAACGCATTCTTCAAGGAAGACTACATGGCCCCTTTCAACCCATTCATCCGGCGCAACTTTCCCACGGTCGTTGCCTTTTACGACCGGATTTGCCAAAGCGTCGACGTCACCACTCTCGCGACGAGCATCCCGCCGCGTGATGCCACTCCTTGTTGCCCTTCGCCGCTCTCGATCGACGAAGCGTGGAAGGTTCGATCTCGCCGTTGAATGTCCTCGCAAATATTCAACGATGGTGCATGGTCAGGTCGTTCGAGACCGTTTGGATAGTCCCTTGGACACCTTTCCTCTGTCTGTGGCCTTGCCACTTCAAAAACCATCCATGTCGAATGCCACAACGACCCTTGGAGATCTGTCTACCGCGTCCGCGACGCTATCCCTCGATCGCCCAAAGCAAAAAGCGTCCTCTACGACGTCCTGGTTCAACTCGACTTTCTTTTTGAGCCACCGAGGAGGCGCACCACCCCCGCCGCTCGCGTTCGACCAGGTCTTCGAAAGCCAGCGGCACAACCCGCTCGACCATCACGCAGACTTGATTCAGGTTTGATTGGTGCCACTCGACGTGCGATTCAACGGACCATGCGCTAGATGGCCCACACTGGACTCGTCGCACTATTAAATGCCACAAACACCGCCCATGAGCAAGATGCCAGCGCTACATGGACCAATGGCCAGACCAAGCGCGGGGTCCAAGTGCATTCGCGCGTGCGTCGAGCTGTCCTTGAGCTGAAGTACGTCCGCATCGATCCCTTCGATGTGTGTGTGTGTGGCTCATTAGCGTGTAGAGCGTCTGTCGTGGTGGCTGCGGATCCTAGTACCTGCCTCGCTTACATTGCGGCCCCTCGGGGACGAGAGATTTGGAGCACATGGGGCCATGAAGTGCGGTAAGGTTGATGCGACGGTGAGGCGACCGGACACGGGTGCTTGCCGTAGGGAACTTGAACGGCTCGATTGTACAAGTCGCATTCTTCACCGCACAAACTACGGTTCGAAATTGCCACCGTTCTTGCTGTGGTGCTGCATGCAATTGCAAGACGCAGTCGAATTGGAGTCTGTGTTTTACCCGAATGAGAGCAGCGATGCATCGCATGACAAGGACGACAGCGAACCTGCCACGTGCGCCACCGGCGACACTCCTTCGCATCATGCACTAGTCTTCCAGGTACACGCTTTCATTTGCCCTTTGATCGGACGTCACCATGTCCCGTACGAAGTCGGTGACGTACCCAGACGTGCCGCCAGTGTCGGGAGTCGTGCGGTCGTGCGTACACAGCAGCGGCTTCGTCTTGAGCCCGATCGCCAACGGAAGCAACAACGACGACGATGCCAAACTTCACGATGCGACCGACACCCTCGTGACATTTGCCATTCGAATGGATCATGCGCTGGCACCGCTGCAAGCCAAACCATATCAAAAGCAGCTCCTCACACTGGCCAAACTCAAGGTCGCCATTGAGAAGTCGGCCACCACCGCATCCCGTGCGTCTGGCTCTTGATAAGCCTTGCAGTTCCTGAGCCAAAAAACAACGCTCTGGTGTACAGATGCCGAGCACCATCCCATCGATCGGTGGAAGGAAAGCGCCGCCAAAAGTAGATCATCCAGAAGTGGCCAAACACGATAACAATGTGTGCCAGCGCCTCTCACATGCAGCCCACGTCGTTGAGAAGTGCATTGCGAGATCATCAAATCTTGGCAGTCGGGAAAGTGTCCAGTGAGTGTAATGGATATATCTAAAGCTCACGGGGCACTGGCAATGTCCCCACAAACCAAAGTCGCTGGCGAGCTTCTGCTGACCCCCCTCACGTCTTCACCTTGGTAAAGAGTTAGGAAGCCTCCAACGTCAAGCATATGGACCCTGCATCTGACGAGGGGACCCCTCGCGCTTGTCACGACGCCTCAAAGCGACGCGTAGTCCTTACTCGCCATGCTACATGGGACAGTATATTTATGCATGTGCATAGGTCATTCCTACACATTGAATACATTCACCTAAGCTCGTTCGCCTCGGATACGACGGGCAAGTTGAATGTCTTTGGGCATAATCGTGACTCGCTTGGCATGGATTGCACACAAGTTGGAGTCTTCAAAGAGACCGACAAGGTACGCTTCGGTCGCTTCTTGCAACGCGATGATCGCCGTGGACTGGAATCGAAGATCCGTCTTGTAATCCTGCGCGATTTCGCGCACAAGACGCTGGAACGGCAGTTTTCGGAGCAAGAGTTCGGTCGTTTTTTGGTACTTGCGGATTTCACGCAACGCAACGGTCCCTGGGCGATATCTGTGGGGTTTCTTGATGCCCCCAGAGAGAGGGGTCTGCTTTCGGCTCGTCTTCTTCGCAGCAAGTTGCTTGTGCGGGGCTTTGCCGCCCGTGGACGTCCGAGTGTTTTGCTTCGTGCGGGCCATCGCGACTGACTTTCTCGTGGAATTTCAAAAATGCTTCGAACTGTGGGCCAATCACGTGGTGGGGAACGAGGGGGAAACTGCAAGCAAAAAATGTTTATTCGTTTTTTTCGGCATTTTTTCACGGTTTTGAAACCCCTCGATTCGTCCATACAAAATGCACGTACTAGTACACAAACACATCAGAGCAATACGAATTTATCATAGAACTATACAATTACGCAGAGCGTTAGAGTACAATACCATAAATTCTTGCTGCACAAGTAGAATACATCCACGTGTGTAGCCAATATGCGGAGTCACATGGGATTGATCCTAGTCTTGGTCGTCGCCCACCATCGAGGGCAAATCTAGCGCGATCCGCGGGGCTTTGACGACTCCAGGGGACGCCGCATGGGTAGAAAGAAGCAACAAACGGCTCGGCCCATGGGAACGAACGCGCGCCAACTAGATATCTCAATGCCCGAGCCCAATTGCGGGTTTGACTGCTTTTGATGGGTTCGGGACGGATCGTTGGAGAACGGGCGGCAAGTAGACTGTAGCCGTCGGTCGAGACAATGGCCAGTGAGTGTATGCCGCAAATCGGTGTTCCTTTGGCAAGTCTCGACATCCAGGCTCGTGACAATGAACATTACAAGACAAAAATCATGCTTGGCGCCATCTCCACCTCCTGATGACTATCTCACACCGACCCACGGTGGCCCTATGCAACATCGCGACCGCTGCACTACGACCAAGATGAAACCCATGAAACTCCCGTATGAGCAAGATCTATGGCGTCCTCCCGTCTGGCGGTCCGACACGGGCCACGCCACATCTCGAAACGCTCTAGTCAGATGCCTCAGCCTCGTCGTTCTTGCTGCCTCGCCAGGTACTCGTGTGCAGGGGCATGTCCAAACAGCTAGGAAGGGTACCCACCGCCGGCGCCGCCTCTCGCCGCGGTAGCAGCCATGCATCACCGAGCGATGTTGGGTTTCAAATCGAGCCAATCAAAACGCACCAAACCTTGGCGGTTCGAAAATCGATATATTTGTTCGATATGGAAACGCCCCAAGATCTCACTCATGGCCCACTTCTCGATTGACCCGCGAACTCCATGACGACCACTTCCTTAGCGTCAACGTCGGCGACGCCAGCCAACATCCGCTCTGGCATGAGCGTACAAGACCTGAAGATGCTCACGGCTCAGCGGGAGTACCGCATCATGATGGAGCAGTACACATCGACAGTCGGCGATGCGTCCCAACTCGCGTCGTCGCCACGCAGCAATCGAAGCTTGAGTTTGTCGCTGTCCGACACGAGCAGCACTGGCAGCGCCAACAGTCCCATTTCAAGCCCCGTCATGTCCCCGCAACGACACCAAGCCCCGTTCCACCCTCCGCCCCCTCCACCCATGCACCTCGCATCGTCCCACAAGTTCAACCAGCACAGCCATCACCATTACCACCATCAAGGCTCAGCGTATTCCCGTCACGGAAGCCCTGTGGAAAAGCGTGTGCTCGTCACATGTGGAGGGCAAATGGTGTCGGTCATGGAAGGCGTGCGCAACGTCCCTGACGACATGTGCTTTGTTGGCGGCAGCCCGACGATTTGACGAGGTCCGTGTTGGCGCGCGTCCTCGCTGCCTTCGTTTCACTGGATCGTTTTCGTGTGTTCACCCTTTGTCATTGATTGTAATATAACTCAAACACGCCGTTCGTCACACGCCACGACATGCTGGAGACTCTGGACGACGTCGGCTTCGGTCGAGTGCTCGACGTTGGACGATGGTCTGGCCGTGATGCGAAGGACATCCGGCAAGAGGACAATCGGGAGGGCCTGCCGTCGGCTTGCATTCGACCGTATGACACTGGCACGGGACGCCGGGTACCGGCGTATCGGAGAACTCCCTGCCCACGGTGTGTAGACCCCGTCACTCTTGTCGCATGCTTCAAAGAGCTACAGCATCATCATGCATTCGATGTAATGTGTGGAGCACTCGACTACCTGGGCCATGAGGTGCCAGAATCGCTTCCAAATGGCCACGGCAGCTTCCTCGGTAGCGTTGCCGCGCATCGCTTGAAAGCCCGCGTACCCATCCACTAGGCACTTGAGGCAACCACATCCAGCAGCTTGACATGTTCGCAAGAAATGCGTCGGAGGCAAGTCACGCCCGAGCGCTTCGAGGGTTCCCACGAAGAACGGTCGGACGGTGGGCCACATCGAGTTCATTTCGTGGAGGCCGTTCGATATCGAGTTCAGGTCGCCGTCCGCGTCCCATGCCATTTCGGCGAGCCCGTACTCCTTGGCGACGACCAAAAAGTCGTCTGGAGCAATCGTATCGCTGCCCGTACGCCGCAACGTGTCGCTGAACAGCTGCAGCACGTCCGAATCATCGCGCGACTTGTCGATGCTAAGCACAATGCGGCGGAATTCCTCGTAGCTGAGCTGGCCGTCGCCGTTGTTGTCGCCGGCCCGGAACGCGTCCCGCAGGTGCTTGTCTCGTCGGAGTTGTTCCTCGTTCCATTCTCCGACGACCCAGGCAAGCAAAACATCGACGTTTACGATCGTGTTGTCCACGGCGTCGGGGCTGGACGAACTCGTCGCAGTGCATCCTCCCTGCGTGATCTTGTCGCAGAACGCGGCGACGTGTACGCGGCGCATGCTTCGAAAGCAGTATTGGACTACCTCCAGCGCCCGATCGAGTGGCATCAACCATTCGTCCTTGTCGGGGATGTTGAGCCGAGTCGGTCGAGCTTTTTTCAATGCCGACGCTGACGACGACGACGGCAGCGTCGTCGGTGGTATGATCGACCCGACACGCGCGTGGTTGGTCTGTCCGTTGATGCCAGGTACAAAGTACCCTTGGTCGCCCGCGTTGTCGAGGATCGATTCGTCCAGAATGACTTCGATGCATTGGAGAAACATGCCGAGCCACGACCCGGGCACTTCGTTGTATAAAAACTGGCAAAACAAGTCGACGCGGCGGTGCTGGTTGCGATACATGTCCAAGGCACACCCGAGCCCGATCAAGTGCATGTCGGCAATGGATGGAAGGCCGTAGCTGTGCAGAAGGGATTGGTACGCGATCTGGGCGAGGGAGTCGGCCCCTTTGGTTGCAACAACACCTGAAGCGCTGTGCAGACTGCCTGCCTTCTTCATCCGCACAATCTTCTCCGCATACGTGTCGGCAATCGTCCTTAAAATGGTACCGAGCGGCTTCTTGCAGCACATGGCGAGCTGATCCACGTTAATCTTCCACGACGTGACGAGCGACGCCAGCGCGTGCGGGACGTTGGCACTGTCCACCTTGATAACTTTCTTTCCCTTGGCCCGCTTCGTGAGACTAGTCAGCGTCACCGGTTGTTTACGCGTTTGCAGGGCAGAATTGGCTGCGCGGTTGCCGTCGACGCTCTACAGGGTGGTCAGAACCTCGACATGTTTCGACGAAACAAAATCCACACACCTCGTTGGACTCGACGGCAAAATTCACGTCGGTCTGGCACGCCACATTCGCCATGCCAGCTTTGACAACTGCGTCCTTGTTGCGCTCGTCGTCGGACAGGTCGTCGTCGTCTTCGTCATCCGATCGGGTGCTGTTCGGGTCGTTCATGCCCCTGGCATGGCGCTGAGCGACTTGGTGGATCGAACTCAGTTTGTCTTGGGTGCTGGCGGTCTACCACGCGAGAAGTGAGTTGAGATGGACACGTATGGGGGGACGCTACTGAAAACGCCGCGCGCTCTTCGTCCGTCATGTCTTCGTCGCCAAGCTCTTGCGCCTTTTCCATGATCTTGGTGAGCACGCGATCCACCGTGTGCCGCCGCCCCGTCGCCTCCAATGTCGACACGACCTTGTGAATGACTTTGGCAAACCCTTTTGGCGTCTTTCCTGTCATCATGGCGTGCTCCAACAACGACGACGTGTCTTGTTCCGTCATGCCACTCACGATCTGCTCTTCGACAGACAGTTGCCGGGGAGGGACCGCAGTTGGAGAGACTTTCGCCTCTTCAATGAGCCCTTCGCCATTGACCGTCAACACACGATCGATCGCGGCGATCATGGTCGTTCGCCGCTCCTCCGACAGGTAGGGCGACGATCCATTGCTGGTGGTGGCCGCCGTCGTCGGCACGTCCAACGTGTGCACCAGGGACTGGATAATTGTGTTGCGTGTGGCGTCGTCAAGTTGATGCAGCACGTCGAGCGTGTGGGCTGCCGTCTCTGTCGTCATGGGATCGTGGTTGCTTGTGGGGGCGGCGCATCCACGCGGGTCCGTGTGCAACGTGATGCCAAACAATTCGCGGCAAACTCGAATGATCGTTTTCGCTTGCTTCGAGTCAGCAGGACTAGTTCAAATGGCAGTCCACCAGACATGACTCGGTCGACGGGGTCGGTGTACCTGGCGTCGTCGTCGGGCACAGACGCCCGCATGGATTCCATGACGGCGTATAGAACTTTGGACCGCGTTTCGGTCGACATGTGGGCCACTTGCTCGTTAAAGTGTGCCATGACAAACGTCGTGTCGTGCAGCACCGTTTGAAGTTGTTGCTTCTCGGTTGGTGACAACCGAAGCAAGAGGTCCGCCAGGGCCGCTTTCGACGTTCCAAAATCGTCGTGGAGAAGCGTCGCGAGCAAGATCTTGCGCTGCGCCGGGTGCAACGACCGGCATTTTTCCAACAAGTGCTCGCAAAAGTCGATCGCGACGGACGACCAGTTGCGCAACAACGAACACACGTCGTCAAACAATCGGCGTTGTTCCTACCACAAACGATCGCACAACAAAGTTCGACAGCCGACGTGTGCGCACCGACGGAGTATACGGCTTGGGAAACGAGTCTGGCGATGTGAGAAGTGCGTGGAGGTGGTCCGGGGTTAAGGCGCGGTCTAGTCCTGTCCATTGCGCCTCCAGCTTGGCGTGCGTTGCGCCATTGACAAAGTCTGCGAGCTGTTCCAACTGCTCCGTGCGGATGACTTTGGCCAGGTCGCAGATAAAACCGTACTCGTACTTGTTGCCGAGCATGGCTGCTAGGAACCCCGTGCGATGGGCGTCACACGACATGGCGTACAAATGGACAAGGCATGGAATGCATTCGTGGACGCGGTCGACGGTGTCTCGAATGGCAAATCGATCTTTCTCGTCGCGATTCAAGATCATCTGAAGCACTCGTGCCTCGCCGTCGGGTCTGGACGAATCGAGGTCAATCATGATCGCGTAAACAGGTCTCAAGCCATACCCGAGGCCTTGAAATGCCGATAGCGCACGGTTTTCCTCGTCGAGGTCGTCCAGCAAGCTCGATACGACGAGGGCCCTCGAGTGCATGTCCAGCGCTTCCGCGAGCTTGAGCAAGCGTCTACACACGTCCGACATGTGCGCTTTGCCAAGATGTGCGCCGCCGTTGGCCACAGACGCAACCAACTTCATGCCGATTTGCTGGCGCACTTCGTCACTAAACCGTAGGAGGCCAGCTTCCAACAGATCGGCCGAGCAAAGTTCAATCACGCGGCGCTTGTCTTGGTCCAACAAGGCCTACACATCCCCACAGGTGGTTGAAAGGCCCATTCATCATATCACACAGTCGGCAGGTGTTGGATACGTCAGCGACGGAGGCTGGTTCGCCACGCGATGCGAAAGCACAGGTCACACGAGTGAAGCATGCATTCATGTACCGTGGAGCGCCTTGCGCCGCCCAAATGCACGCTGATCGCGTGGTCGTGTTCGAGTTCGCGCAACTGAACAAAGAAGGGTTTTCGATGGTAGAAAGAGCGCACAATGTCGACGCTGGACCTTTCATTGATGCGCGGCGTCGACGCGTGGAATCCAATATCGTCGGTGAAGGACGACTCACAGCTAGAATCGCCGTACAGACCGTACTCTAGACGAGAAAACATAAAGGATCCACCGATTTGAAAAGCAGCTCATGACGCACCGAGTCCCACCACGATCTTCTGGAGCAGCGACCGGTAGTTGCCAAGAATTCCAGGGATCTTGAACAGTGCCGCACAACATGCAGCAGTCTCGAGGACGTTGGGCCGGCCGGTGTTGGCGGTAAAGTTGGCGAGTTGATCAAGCTTGTACTCGGTGAAGAGTGCGTACGACGTGAAACGATGCTTCTCTGCCTCGTAGTTCTGAATCCACTTTTCAATTTCGTCGTCTGCGCACAGGTACGCTTGGGACCTGGCGATAGCTTCGGGGGTCGCATCGATTGCAGGTAGGACAGTCGACCGCAATGACAATGGCGACAGGAGGGTGTCGTTGGTCGTCATGGGGCGCGGGCTCTCTTGTTTCCGTGGGGAGGACGATCCGTCATCCTTGAGCATGCCACCCAGCAGAACGTGGTCGATCTGTTGCTTGATGGAGTTTAAGCGCTGGTCCAACGTGTCTGCGGCAATACTCGTGCGAATAATCGGGTGGAGCGAGCCCGCGGGGGGATTCGCATAGTCCAGTGCACCACCCACAATTGGTTTCCTGCAGGGATAGTGACAATGATGCAGAGCTGTACAACGTGTGATGCGAAGACGTACGACTCGACTCGACTGCGGCGTTTCGGGTTGAAGACACTGAACGAAGAGACGCCATTCAGCTCAAATCCAGAATGATTTGAGCTCGTGCAGGGTTCTCACCTCGTAGTATTCTCTTGGTTGTCCCTTGGGATGAGCTCTACCGATAGCAGCGGTGATGGCGCGTATCACGTGCGGCGACATGTACCTCGAAGTGGCACGGTGGGAGGGAACGGATACACTTCCGCTGCAGATTTCTCACGAAGCTTCCTTGGTGACGGATTCTTCGGCATGGCCGCTGTGCGCTTTGGTGACCGCTGCATCGATTCCATTCCCTTCGTGGCGCCAATTGGCGATAATAATAGGATTGACACCGCAAGCGTTTCCAGCTCCTTGATATGCCATCGATCGGGCTATTGCCGCGAACTCCTCTTTATCGATCCCGTTGCAGAGTACACCGACATGGACGAATGGACTTTGCCCCCACCACATGGACGCGCTTCCACCTTTTGCGCGCGAGATCTGACGGAGAGTGTGTCCATGCGGGAGATTCAAATTTCAAATAAACCGTAACGTGATTTTTTTCGACTGCACGAAGTATACTTTGTTCAAATATAGATTGGTAAATTAATACCCAGTTACAACAAAACTGCATGTTGCTGATGACAGAGCACGCGATGGACCACGCAGCAATCAGCTTGGAGCTCCTTCGGGAAGACAATGCCGAGCTAGAGAAGCGGCTGGAAGAGATGGAAGAAGAAAAGCAGAACATGCAGAAGAAGCACGAGGAGCTCGAGCGAAAGTCCAAGCACCTGAACGATGTGAACCAGTTGCTTCAGAAACGGCTTCACGACAGCACGTCGAACAAGGAGCAAGTGCCGCCAACGCCGAACGCAGGACCGTCAAATGCACTCGTACAACTCAATGACCCTGCACTTGACAAAGAGAAAGCTCAGATCAAGACGGAGAATGACCAACTTCGACAGGAGAACGAAAAGTTGGCGAAGCAGGTTGTCCACTTGCGCCACGACCTCGAGCGTCTGTACAAACGACAAAAAAACGCCACCGTCGCTACGTCGAACGGTGACGTAGACGATGAAGTCGCCCAGCTTCTCGACGACCAAAGCACTCTGGACAAGAAGCAGGAGATCATTGCCGACCTCTTGCAACAATGCGCGTCCAAAATGGAAGAACACCGTGCTTCCAAGCGTCGGCGGTTGACTGAATCCTTGATGGCGCAGGAGCAAATGGTCAAGGATGCGATTCGTCAATTCCAAGATGAAATCGTCGCGCACCAAGAATTCGATCGTTTGGAACAGCACGTGTTTCAAAGTCAATCCCGCGATGCCGCGGCAGCAACGTTGCAACGAGAAGAAGAGTTGGTCCAGTGGCAAAAGCAATGCGAGCAACTGCAGCAGGACAACCATCGTGAGCGTACCAACGCTGAATCGCTGCGGGATGCCTTGCAAAAAGAGGCGCTTCGCTTCGATGCAGCATCGAGGGAGCTCGAGGGACTCAAAAACGAGTTGGCGCAGCACACCGAGATGGCGACGCTGGTCGAAAAACAGACAGCAAACATCCACGAATTGGAAACGCAACGGGAGCAACTTCGAGAACGTCTCGCGGCCAAGGAGCAGTACCTTCTCGCCCAGAAGGAAGACACATTGACCGTGCTCAAGAACAAGGCCGACGAACGATCGCAATGGAAGACTCGCGAAGCGAACTTGACGGAACAAATCCACGACCTCGAGCGCACGGTGGCGGAGTTGACCGCCCAGCTGAACGCGTCCGCGGCAAGTCACACGACTGCGGACCATGAGCGGTCCCGCCATCTCGTCAGCCAACTCAACGAGGCACAGGCGGCGCGAGAGGCCGCCGAAAGCGCACGAGATGACCTGATGGAGAACCTGCAGAAAGAGATCGACCGGAGGCGATCCCTGGACGCTCAACTGGGCACAGTTCTAGCTCAACGTGACTCGCTGTCGGATGAGTTGCTCCAAGTGATGCGTAGTCGACAGACCCTCCAAGACCAACTCGACCGTCAGTCGGAGCAATGCGAGCAGCGAATTCAAGATGAAACGGAGCGAAGGATTGCCTCCCAGGGACGAGAACGCCGGCCGGCACCACGCGAGCTTATCCCCGTCGCGATGCCAGACTTGGATTCTGCCACGTCCCAGGAACTCCAAGCATTTTTCGTGGCATACTATGAGTGCGCCGAGACCAAACATCGCGCGTTGCTGGCCGAGCGAGACGCATTGCTCGCGGACACCCACACAGTTGCAGCGCACCACGCGACAACAGCACCGTCCCATTCGACCTGACCATCGCGCGCGTGTACACAAATAGAAGAGCGATGACACATGTCGTCTTCAGAGTCGAGTCGTTTTGGATTTACTCGACAGATATCTACTCGGTGAGGGTGATGCTGTCCAGAGCAAGGGCGGGCAAGTCGCCATCGAGTACATGCAGCATTGTTTCGACCCACAATGGCGCCGATGGTTGCACAGGGGCTGCCATTGGCAGCGGTACCGCCGACGGGATGAACGGAAGGGGTGGCTTGACAACGGCACGCGACGCTTCTTGGAGTGCTGCGGCTGCCGTGGCCGAGTGGAACCCATGCAGATCCATCCATGTGCGGGCGGCGTCACAGCCGCAAATGGCGATGACTTCGTGGAGTTTGGCCAAGCACAGCGCATCGAGGAGGGTCGAGAGTTGCAGAATCGACTCGGACTCGACGGGGAAGAGCAGCTAGTGAAAGTTACGCACTGCTCAGGTTGCTATCGATCGTACTTTGACTTCGTGCATGATGCGGTAGTATGTCGAGAACGCTTCCAACGTGGACGGGGCGAACCCGTTCATGGACATACGCGGAAAGTGCGCATCCTTGACCTTGGGCAGCAACATCTACGTCAAGATCAGCAACGGGCCGAGTCATGGGAGCAACTTGGCGGACCTGCAGCACCAAAGTGTGCGTGCCGAGCTCGACATAATCGTCGGGATACCATGCCCGCATCGTGTTGGCAAGCCGCAGGGCCTTCATGAACCCGCCTTTTTCGTGCTCGGCCACGATAAGGTGGTGCAGCTAGCAGAGTCAAGATGAACGCAGCATGGGATCGGCTGCGGTCGTACTTGGTTTCGAGACGGGACATTGTGCGCCGTATCGGCAGTTTCGGATCCCAAGAGTTGGGTGAGGGTGTCGCGTCCGAGCACTGTGCAGTGGAAGGTCCGCGGCGTGGCTCCGCGGCGATTCATCCGCATCATACGGTCCAACTTGGAGAACTCGGAGGCGTCAGTGGCAGACGACGCGTCGGTCGATTCAACAACAAACCCGCTTTGCATCATCTCCTGGACTAGCTGCTGCCACTTGGCGCTCAGAAAGACCTAGCCAGACACCGTGTTTTTCGTCGAAGACGACAAAAAATGTACCAGCAGCGGAAGCAACGAAATGCCTGCAGGACTCAGCACGAGGCGAATCAGCGCGTTGCGCGGCACATTCGTGGCCAAACGATCCAAATGCGGTAAAATGAACTTGGCTTCGCTCAGCGGATCGTTGACGGCGCTGATGTTGGCGGCGCTGAGCAGCTTGAGGACGCATTCCTTCACGTAAAGCGGTGACACTTCGGCCAGCACGACGAGGACCTGTGGACCGCCGCATGATTCTTTGACTTTGCCATGGAAGCACTCACCGGGCACGCCTCGGTGGCGAGCGCGAGCTGGTCGACACACAGCTTCGCGGATGCGTCTTCAGCTTTGAACATTGGACTAGGTTGAAATATCATGCATTGACAGAGCAAGCCGACAGAGCACACGGTAAAATACACACTTGTGGATCCAATACAGGGACCGAATGACGGCGAGGGAGTGCGCGCGAATCAAATCTGGACGAGGCAGCATGTACCGCAGCGCCGCTTGGCGCACCATCGGGTCAACGTCCTCCAGGCATAGATGGGGCACATGTCGAGCCAACGCGGCGCGGGTGCGCGGGCCGCAGACACTCAGCGCCAACTCTGTCGTGACCTGGGCACGAATTCGTTGCAAAACAAGTCAAAGCAACCAAAGACAACGCACACACACCAGATCGAGACCGTTGTCCTTGTCCGAGAGCAAGTCGAGCGCGTTGACGAGGGTGCCCTCAAACATGTTGGACGTGATCGCCCCCGCCCCCAGTTGAATCACTTGAAGCGATAGCTGCACGACGGCAATCGCATCGGACGCATCGATGCGGGTCGACATGGCATACAGGAGCTCGGTGAGAGATTCCAACCGGTCCACCGCAATCACGCCACGACTGGCGCACGCGTCCAGCTCGAGCTGCACATGGTGAGGTCCATCTAAATCCATGGCGTTTGCAATGCACGTACGCCAATGGAATGGAGAAGGGCGGCGAGGGCTGAGCGGTGCTCGTGGACGAATGGACCAAAATTGAGGCAGATTTCGTGCCACAACATGTCAGCGGGCCCGGTGCGCAACCTAATGGGACGGTAAAGACCACCAACGGGAACCCAAACCAAACTTGGCCACAATGACGGAGAATGCGTCCGAGATCGCTCGGCTCGTCTCGGCCGACATGACGGCGTTTTCGAGCCCAAACGCCGAGTTTTGAAGACCTAGTCGAGGCGCATGATCCGCACCAGTCAAGGACGACGCTCGCGCACCCAGTGCGATGAGGACAGCTTCCACGAGCGCCCGGCGCGTCTTGTGGTTGTGCGCCACCTCGGGCAGCAACAGCGTCGGGAGCCACTGGTATACTTGAACATGCCCCATCGAGTAATGCCGGTGCAAGATCAGCGCCAGGATTTCCGTGAACCGCTCCGTTTCGATGTACCTGCGTCACGTTTCCATTGGCAACGACTCGTTCCATGGCACGCACCCATGTCGAATGGCTTGGATGACAGTCAAAAACACATTGCGACCGAGCAATGGCGGCGGGACTCGGTCGATGTTGAGGTAGTAGAGCCGACATGCTTCTCGGACAAGATTCACAATTTCTTGATCGCGCTGGTTGCCAGACACCCCCTGCAGCGGAAGGAGCGCCAGCTGCGCCCTACGCCAGTCTGTCACGCTGTGGCACATTTTGCCACAGTACCGTGCAAAGGGCAGGACGAGGTCGGTCCACACGGCCGGCGCGAACACGTGGGCCGTGCGGCCGATCAGGGCAACCATGCCGTACTCGTTGGTGTCGAGCGCAAACTGGACAATGCCGACGCAGTCTGGGTAGTTTAACAGAATGCTTTCCATCGCGTGGAGGTATGCGTCAGGTAGAACGGCGCGATTCGCTTCATTCGGATGCCTGGCGTCGTCGCGGTCATGCTCGTGTGGACCGGCCAAGACGGACGTACAGTTTGTACGTGTGCAAACACGCGTGAAAGAGCTGCGTCAGTCTCGCCTCATGCACGTCGGCATTGAATGCCCATTCGCGGCTTGAGCGATGGTTCATCAGCGCTTCGTACAGCGACTCCCTGAGGTCACGCGACCAGAAACTCAAGGGTTAGCGCAGTCGTCCTTGCAATTCCCATGTAGGTGGCGCAAGGATAACACATCAGTTTTCAGCACCATGGCCCAAGTCATGCAGACCGCGTGAGATTTGAGGCAGATTTGGATGACAAACTTACATGACGGCGGTGCAATAGAGCGCCTTGGCAGCAGCATGTTCCGTGGATGTTGCAACGACTTTGGACATGAGGTTCTCCATCGCGGCGGACGAGGCCAGCACTCCCATGGACCAGAGGGGAGAGAGCGCCAGCACATCCCTCGCGACTCGGCTGAGAGCGATCACCGGCGCATACGACGTGTCGAAGCGAGCGATGCGTTGGAGGAGCACGATGGCGACATCGCGCACAATCGAGTCCGTCGAGACGGACGAGATCGTTTGAGCCAGGTGCGCCAGCTGGAACGTCAAGACACACCCCGGTGAAAAAGATTGCGAGGGAGAAGGGGAGTATGAATGAGCCCATGGACCCGCTGCAAGAAACTCCCACAACTCCAAGAGACTCTCGAGCGTCGCGATCGCATCAACACGGGTGCCGGAATGGATGTTGTCGCCGTACGCAACGAGCTCAAGGGAATGAACTCCAGTCGTTGCCAGGTACAGACTGAGCGAGTTGACACTCGGGTCGTGCATCGTGTCGATGAGGAACGGGTCGAGCAACGCCGTGAACTTGGGTTTTGTTCGGAGGATCTCAAAGATGGCCTGAGCGTGACGAAAGAGTTCTCTGGGACACGGGTCACGGGTTTCATGGTAGAGGGCGAAGTCGCATACCTCGCGGCGTAGAGATCCGTGGATGGGTCGCGAATCCGTTGCACGGGGTACGTATCGAAGATGATCTCGAGAGCTTGGCGGGTGTTGCGCTGCATGATCACAACTAGGAGATTCATCCGTCAAATATGCACGAAGGGTGGAAGTGCATGTTGCTGGAACGTACTATTCGATCCAGTCTGCGCAAAGTCAGCCGCCAAGCTGAACCAGAAATCAAACAGGTCGGAGGCGGCATCCCTATTCACATCTGCACTGAGATCTACCGAGCATTCCAGTCCAGCAGCATCCATACGATTGCTCATAATCCACCGTCGATTGCAGCCGCGCCTGCAATGATGCCCACGTGGTTGCCATGACGAGAACGAGAAGTGCCGTCCTGCGCCGACAACGTGCGTGATCTTCGCGTCCGTGGATGTTGGGTGGATTCAATGAGCTTTAACGCGATTCTCACATGTACATAGCTTAAACAATCACTCCTGGCACATCACTCTGTGGCGGTAAACGTAAAACGCATGTGGAGGATCAACCAATCAACGACGTGCATGCTCAAGAATTAATCGAGTGAAGATGGCCGCGGCGCGGCGGTGGACGTCGCTTGTGTTCACGGGACAAGGCAGCCAACGCGTGGGAATGCTGCAAGATCTTCTAGACCAATGGCCTCAACATGTCGCCCCTCTTCTCGATGAAGCTGAAGCAGTCATGAAGCGAAACCTCAAGAACCTGATGCTGCAAGGTCCTCAAGAAACCCTCACCGACACGTCTATCGCACAACCTGCGATTTTAACCCACTCGACTGCAGTGCTGCGTATCCTTCAGGTTTGGCGCCATCGAGGTGTTCGTGCCTGATAGTTGGACTATGTCTAGCACGAAGCAGACTTTGACGTGGCGTCGGAGGTCCACCGTGTGCTTGGACATTCGCTTGGGCAATTTACGGCGCTGGTCGCTGCCGAAGCGCTCTCGTTTCGTGATGCAATTGACTTGGTGGTGCGTGCTTTCGATAGTGGACATCCATTTTCATGTTACTCGTTCCTCCATACACACAGCACTTTCGAGGAACGGCGATGAAAGACGCCATGGCCGGGTCGGACAAGGGTGCGATGGCCGCGCTATTTCCTGTCGACCCAGCCGTTGCCAACGATATTTGCAAGTCGGTGCAAGAGTCCACGGGTCTGGTCTGCTCGGTGGCCAACTACAACTCATCGAAGCAGGTACTTTACATGCTTCTTGCCATCGATAGTCCTACTGCTCGTTAGACTGTCATCAGCGGTCACGATGAAGCGGTGGAGGCGGCGGTGGCCCTCGCCAAGTCACGCAAAGTTCGCCGCGCCGTCATGCTGGACGTGAGCGCTCCGTTCCACTGCTCTCTCATGCAACCTGCAGCCGACGCCCTCGCAACGCGTCTGTGTGGAATCTCCTTCCAAAGACCCATTGTGCCTGTGATATGCAACGTGACTGCGAAAGCGATGGATCCTGCGGAATTGCGATCGGCATTGGTGGACCAGGTGACGCAGCCGGTTCGGTGGAGCGACTCTGTCGACTTCTGCATTCAACGAGATACTCAGGGAAGCGACAAGGTGGAGTTCCTTGAACTCGGGTTTGGTGGCGTGCTCACGGGGCTGATACAGCAGCACGCACCAACCTCTGCGTCCTGCACGTACGTATTTGCATGATCAACACGCGAGCCGCCGTTGGATATGACGTACATGTAGACCCCTGGGAACAGCCGACGACGTGCGCAAATGGATTGCGGCGAGGAACGCGGCAGCATGAAGATGGTGGCGATGACGACATGATCCAAGTGGGTGGAAAGAGAGTCGATTAACATGGAATATGACATCGTCTTCTTGAGCGAGGAATTACTCTTCCAATGTTGGGCGTTCGCCGATTTCACCCTTCACGAACACAAACGGGCCGTTGATCGTGTTTTGTCGGGAAATCAGCACGACGTCTTCCGAGCGCATGCGCTTGACGGCTTCGCGGCGACCGTACTCTTCGAAATCGGTGTCGGGAGCGTTGGCAAGTCCGAGCCAGAGGACCAAGGGCCCGCCCACGATGCCCATGTAAGTAGACCATTCGAATCCCTTTTTCTGCCACACGTGAGTGCCCTAACAAGTAGCATGTGAGATCGACGATTTCGTCAAACGAACAACAATCATACGTTGTTAGTCAGCATGGCCGTCTCGGCTTGGTGATGAGCAGCCGCATGAGCTTCGCTCGCGTGGTGTTGCGCATGGCTGTGCGTGGCAAATCGCCGCACAGCGCTGGTGACTCGTCCGCGGACCATGACACTACTGTGGAAAAGCACTGGGAGCCACGAACAAGTGTAGCGGAGGGATGGTTTTTCATTTAATCTTATGATTTATTACTTCATATTTGTATATATGTTAGGATTTGATATTAAAATTTGCCTGACTGCACTCACATGAATTGGCCAATCCCGTGACGACGTCGGCAGAATAACCGTATCCGGATAATACTATGCGTTGATCTGTCACTTTGCAGGAATTCGAACGCCATCATGGCCGCCGACGCCTCGGCGACTCTGACGTTCCTCACAGTAAACGACGTGTATGATGTAGTGCCGAATGAGCAAGGACGTGGAGGTAGTCTTTGTGGTTTGTAAGTGATGTGTCTCTAATGGCTGCGTTGGACAGGAATGGCGGAACTGGCAACGCTCCTTCAAGCAGAAAGGAGCATCATCCCGCCGACACACCACACAATAACAACGATCAACGGTGACTTCCTGTCAGCATCACAAGCAGGCGAGCACTACAAAGGGTGCGCATGGATGTTTCCTCTCCTGCACAGCGATTGATGCTAGCTGTTTGTAGTGCACACATGATTGACATTCTAAACCGCATGGACATCGATTATGCCGTCTACGGTAAATCAAGTCGCTGCACCAGCAGCAGGTCAGCACTTTTATTTGTAGGAAATCACGAGTTTGACTTTGGTTCGGACGTTCTTGTCCAGCGCGTGGCCGAATCCAACTTCCAGTGGTTTGGATCGAACGTCCGCGACAAGGTGACTGGAAATGTCCTCGGGAATGGCTTGGATACGGTCCTTTTCCCCGTCGGATCAACGTCCCAAGGTGAGTCGTGCACTGGAAGGACAACATGTTGAAACGACCGTCCCAATAGGTGGCGTGATTCAAGTGGGGATGTTTGGGATTTGCACCCCCGAGACACCACACCTATCGTTTCCGGGGGACAAGGTGGAATTCCTTGAGATTGTCGACACCTCTAAGGTGTGTCAAAGTGGATGCGTGTTTCTGAGCAACTCTGACGCAGAGTTTTGTAGCGATGTGTGGACGAATTAAAGGCCCGCGGTGCCGACGTCATCATCGCGCTGACGCATGTTAGCATTGCCCACGACAAGCTGTTGGCGAAGCGGGTGCCTGGCATTGACGTCATTCTTGGCGGCCACGACCATGACCCGTTTACGCTGTATCAAGGTAAAACGTTTATCCACAAGTCGGGCCAGAATGCGTACTGGCTGGGGCGCGTCGACTTTGTCATTCGAAAGCGCGGCGACAAGGTCACTGTGTCGCCCGGGTGGAAAATGCTTGTAAACCAGCATGTTACACCCGAGGCAGGGATTGAAGCGCTGGTACGACACATAGAAAATTTACACAGGAGCGAATTGTGCAAACTCAGCAACAATGGGCTTAGGTTCACAAGTACATGGCACCGTTCTTGACGGCTGACCGACTGGAGGCGGGCGCGAGGCAACTGGCTGTGCTGAGTCATCCACTGATCACGAAAACGTCGGTAATGCGAGGAGAAGAGAGCAACTTTGGCAACTTGGTGGCGGATGCTATTCGCCAAGAACTGGGCGCGCAGTTTGGTCTTCTCAACGGTGGTTTTGTTCGAGGCGACACAGGTATATTCTTGAGCACTTGAATATCGATGGCAACTGACTACAGTGTTGCGACTCAGTCCACGAAGCAAAGACGCAGTTGACTGTGGGCATGGTCCTCAAAGAAATGCCGTTTCCCCGCCCTGCTGTGCTGCTTCGTATCCAAGGAAGAGATCTCAAGGAGGCGGTTGAACAACATCTGCGGCACTATCCGTTACTCGCAGGGTCGTTTCCTCACGTGTCGGGGATGCGAGTGACTTACGATCGAACTCGAGAAACCCCTGAGGTGTGTTCATGTCGTAGCATCATGAAATGCTTGCACATGTGGTTAAGCATGTTCGCCATAGATCACGTCGTTCCAAGACGCCTCAGGAAACGACATCAACTTGGATGAACTCGTCACTGTGGCGACGACCAAGTTCATTGCGGGCGGCGGAGATGGGTGTGTGGCGTGGAAGAAGGCAACTTTGATAGCCACAGACGATACTATCGCCCAAGTGGCAATTCGCTTCCTCGAGAAGTTGCGCTTGATCTCGTATCCCGAGAAGGAAGGCCGCGTCAAGATTGTCGAATAAGCGGCGAATTGTCAAAACATAGAGTTACAGAGGTTCCATGGAGATATAATGTTATGGGGTCTTTTTTGAAATAGCGCGCGAAAACCCCTCATTTCCAAACCTACCACGGGCCACGTACAAAGCCGTCATGCGAGCGCCACCGACGCCATGGTACTTGGATAGTAAGATTTGCCCGGATGACCCAGATACCATCGTTCATGAAGATGGAACAACAAGTCGATGGGTTATGGACATGGAATTGCTCATTTTCGAGGACATCAGCGATTTTGCAAGGTCTGGGGCCGTGTTCAAGGCGAGACCATCAAGTTTGCTCAACGGTGTAAGAGGCGCCACCACAGAAGACAAGCCCCTGCGTGCAACGGTGATGCACAAACGAGTCTCAAGCCCCCGACGTCGCCACGAGAATCGACCATTGCGCCTTTGCGATAAGTGGAGAGTATTTCATTCGACGAGGCGCAGGAGAACGCTTGCAACGAAAAGTAAACCATACAGCCTGGTTATCCCGTTCATGTCGATCATGGTACTAGTTCATGCACGAAAGCACCTGCTAACCAGCTGTAGACACTCTTATCGTTACCAAGGCAGCCTCACGACTTCGAACTTCAACGAGCATAATCAATCGCAGATTCAATGTCTCGCTTGTGTTTGTATTGTGTGCCAGCAGGGGCTTTGTCTTGAATGCAAACGCGACCTTCGAACAGAGGCTCGATAAATTGACAGGACTTGGTACAATTATCGACCAAGTACCTACATCGAAGGGTCAAATGGAAAATCAAGTCACACTGAACACCAAGTCACACGACTGCAAAAGTACAACCAACGTCACAAGTAAATCTCAGCATACTCCAATACTACAGATTCTGCGCGACGTGTACGCCTCCAGTCTGAGGTAACTGATCAAAGCAACCGCAGGACGTGGTCATTCAAGCACAGCTCTCACTTGACCCTCCGCCGTGGCGGTTTGTTGGTGGGGCGTCCATCTTGAGAGATCTTTCAGTCGTCGTCGACTGTCGTACACGCCAGCACCAGTGCAAACTAGCTCTACAAGTGGAAGACGCGTCTCAGCGCTTGTACAATCCAGCAAGTTCACCGAAACGCACCCCATCGTCACAGTGGAGGCACTCAGTCGTGGTGAGAGCGTCTGGTGCAGTTGGTTGCGGCTGCGTGTCGTTCCTCTTCTTGCACCATGCGCGTATTTGACGGCCATGAAGGTACGTCCGTGTTGTTGCTTCGAATGCCACCCTTTGGGCACTTGATTCTCCATGCAGCATAGGTGCAGCGCTGGACGTTGGCCACGACAACTCTGTGACGGATGGAGCAGGTGGGGATACGCATGCGATTTGATTCCATTTGCGTTTTCACCGAGTCGACTGTGGACATCACCTTTATACTCTTCTACTTGACGCTGGAGTGAGACGTGGTCGTCCGAGAGTTCCATGTGTGCGTCCGTGGTTAGCGGCCTGTCGGGTCATCGAACCTCTCGCTTCACACGATTCTCCACTGCGGATGACGTGCTCGACGACAGCTCCAAAGTCGTCAACAGCACGCTTGCATTGCTGTCTGCAAGCGACAGCCCTGCCTTGCCGTGAGCATGCAGTCGATCGAGTTGAGGTCGAGTGCCTTGGCTGCGGTGCCACGACTTGGCTCAAGTGACACCGTGTGCCCATGCATCAACATGGGAGGACTGCGTGTTTCTCCATGCCAAAGCACGGATCGATCATGGAATTGTACTCGTTACTCCTCTGTGGATCGAATGATCTGGGCAAATACTTGATGGACGGTCGTTTCAAGCTTGGTCACGGCAGCGTTGTTGCTGAGCGTGTCGGCAATTTGGTGGTTGACTTGCGCTCGCAGCTTCATCAAGAGCTGGACGCACTCCTCGGCAATGTCACAGAATGCCACCGCCATCGCACCCAAAGCTGGTAACACGTCGATGAGAAAAGCTAGCACGTCCGTGCTGAGCAACTTGTCCGTTGTCTGGGATCTACCGATGCTTGCATGACGCGTCTCGACATTTCAACATTTTCAGTAGCACACCTGTCTGTGTCGTACACGAGTTTCACTTTGGCCACGACAGTCTTCAAGACTGCGATCGGCACTGCTTCTCGGTACTGGCGACACAACGCACTCGCGACGTGGCATCGAAACGACAGCTTGGCCAAGTCGTTGCAGCTCAACAAGTCTGGAAGCGACGGCACAAGGTCGACCATGGACGGGACGGCCGCCACCAACAACCCGATCAGTCCCTTTGCGTACCCCTACAACACAGAAACGTCATGACGGTACTTGCCCTTCATGAAATGCACCTGCGCATGAACGGCAAGCAACACGGACGGCGCTTGACGAAAAGCCGTGTCCAGCCATCGGTAAATGTGCCGACATTGGGGGTACGCTTCTTCCGCGTTGAGTCGGGCGACCACGTTGAGCAGCGCATGGACAAGAATAGCGTCTTGCACGAGGATGTACTGGCCAACGTCGACAGCGGTGGGGTGCAAGGCATCTTCCGTGTTGAGTTGGCGGAGATGCATGCTAGAGACTCGTCGAAACGTGGTCAGCAACGCCAAGAGCAACTTGAGCAATGGACCGTGCCGCCAAACACGTGGGTCACATCGCAGGATGGAGAACGGCTCCTAGGCAAACGACACGTTCGTGTCAATCGTGCCAAGCGATCGACAAACGTACTTCGAGGAGGTCCTGGTACGAGTAAATGGCGTCGGGACAGAGCGCATTCACCAAATGCAATTGCAAAGCGTCCGGCGTGGGATGGCTGCGCCACGTGCGAGAGATCACAGCTTCAATGAGACCACACACTTCAGGGAACTCGAGCGATACCGATGGCCGCGCTAGTTTGTCTCGGGGAGGGAGGAAGATTGTCGGCGTCGGATCCTCCTTGATGGGTCCCACCGCGACTGGCAGCGCTGACCGAGCAAGCCAGTCAAGCCACGGCACTACCTGGTCAACGGGGACGAGCTCAAGGTCGCAGAGGAGGTCTCGAACGGCGGGCATGTCCGACGGGGCAAGCTCCTTCTGCTGCTTTAGTTGGCCATACATTTGCTGGAGGGTCACATGCGACGGCCGCAAGATGACGCCAATCTCCGATGGCGCCCCCCCAGCGTGCATTTGGACTTGCAATACATGGGGCGATTCGTCCAAGACAAGTCGCGAGAGCACTGGGAAGACAAACTCAAACGCACCACCGACGTGGCTCTGGCTTGCGGCAGTGTGGTAGATGCGCGCGATGGGGACCGCGTGGAGGTCGTACTTGCGGCTCGAGGCGTCTTTGACATGACGTCGGTTAAAATGCAATGCGTACACGAGAAGGAGGGTTGCTCGCGCCCACGTGATCGAGTGGTTGCTGACGTCGTGTGCGGGACATGACGTTTGGAGCACCGCCTTGATGCCGTCGAGGACGAGCGCATGCCGCAGCGGCGGGATCGACGACTGTTGCGTCGTCATGTCGTACGCGCCGACGTGGTTTTCCACGAGTTCCACGACCAAATTGGGCAAAATCGGATGGATGGGCAGCGACGCTTTGTCGATCTATCGCAAAGTCCATCGAGATGCATGGGATTGCCGTGGAGCGCCGTACTTGGTGTTGCACGAGCCAGTCGTTCGGGTTGACCTTGTGCCGAACAAACGATCGTTCACACAGCAACGAATACGCGACGCGGAGAGTCCACTCCCGCAGAGGAGCCACCATCGTCGCATTGACGCTTCCTGTGGTGGCGTCTCCAGGCATGGCGAGCAGCTAGGGCATGACAGACAGCAGCTACGTTATGGCACCAGGCAGCAGGGAAAGGCACGAACCCCATGGACCAAAACAGGCTCGGTAAAGTCCAACTTCAGCACAAACTACAATCGATCCATCAGTACAACCATTTTTTGCCTGACGTAGGCATGTGTCGAACCTCGCCAAATACAGGAACGCGGTCTGCTTGCACCACAATGTGGCTATCGAGTACGGATCGGAGCAGGTCGATCACCATCCCAGGCTACATGTCGGGGAAGAAAGGATTTGACAGGATCCAGCTTACCTTGGTGTACAGCAGAAGCGCCATCATGAGAAAAAGCGACCCGGAGTTGGGCGCGTCCAGCTCGTAGAGAAGTCCAATGAGCTGCCGCGCCTCCTTGGTCAATTGGGTCGTGGCGGCATCGACGGGTTGCGACAGTTTACTCAAACACACCAACACGATCGTGGTAAACGCTAGCTGGACAAAGCGGGAGCTCCGCGGTCCGTCGCGGCGGTGGCGTCGTTGCTGGCACTCCTGGCCGATAACGCGGAAGAGCAGTGCCCCTTCGACGTCCGACACGACGAGTGACCCACGCCCAATTAGTCCACAGTACGCCTTCAACACGGTAAGAAGGTCGAGTGATTTGGGGGCTGCCAGTGCTTCCTGCAAGTCCAAGCGCAAGCGCCGAAGCATGTCCGAAGTCTTCGCACGAAAGGGTGTCGTCGGGTCTTGGGTCAGCGCTTCGCCCACAACAGCCCACAGGGTGGAATATTTGGTGCTTTGCATGACGCTGGTCAAAAAGACAGGCGTATCGCGAAGGTACAGATTCGTGATGTCCAGCGCAATCGCGGCAGCAAAAGCAAAGTCTCCCCCGAGGCATTGCCTTCGAACAGCATGGGCGGCGGGCACGGACATCGCAGCAATCGTGACGAGGATTAAGTGAGTTGAGTCAAAGGAGTCCATGTCTGAGTTCTGGCGCATGGTCAGGAGAATGTGATCGACGACGGATGTCATGGCGCTCGGGTCGTTCTGGACGATGCCGAGGAGAAGTATGCGGCCGATGGATGTTTCGAGCAGAAGTGACACCAGTGGAGGTAGTGGAAGCCAGTCACGGGAAAGAGCGTGGTTCAGGATGCATTGCAGCTCCAGCACGTGACTGTGGTTGGCAATGCCGCAAATCCATGGCAATGGTCGCTGGGAATTGTTCTCCCGTCTAGACTCAAGTGCCACGTACAGGGTTCCCAGCGTCCATTCAATGCGGTGAAGTGTGGCGCGCTCGTTTGTCGTGTCGGGGAAAATGGACGGATCGAAACACGTAGACCTCTGGATGATAGACTCCATGGACGTAATCTGACGGAAAGCGATCGCAAGCTCCTTGCCAAGTGTCGCATCAGGTTGATCATGCAGCAGATCTTGCAGAGTGACGCGAGAATCCGTTGGCACTTCAGAGGAAACTCGTGTATGCATTAACCGTGTAAAGAGCGGCAAGAGGGGCTGGACAGCATTCCTTCGGTCCTTTGCCTCAGCTGGTTGGTCTTGTCCTGCTAAGAGAACGAGAAGGGACTCGGCGGCGCTCATGACGACAGATCCGTCGATGGGCGGTGCGGAATTTCGGCTGTGACAACTTGCATTCACCAATCACAGCATGGCAATGTCTAGATAAATATTGTCCAAATATAATCTGAACAATGCTTCGAAAGTGGAATATCACGGCGTTGTGATACAACACACGATCGACTTTGCATCTCTCGGGTGGTCCCTCGACCGAGTGTCCCAACGCAGCCGTGGCTTGGACATCTCGACAAGCGACGGCAGCTGCTGCGACGATACTCGCATGACCATGCGAGTAACATAATAAACGCAAGTTTCGTGTTGGGGCGGTTTAGTGGCTCAAATACGGGGCTTGCTCGACGGCGGAAACGATCTTCATCGTGCTGTGCCCACTGCCGTGAGCGACTTCGTTTACCGTTAGGCGTGGACAAGGCACAACGACGAGAGACCTAAGTTGGACGAACATCCCAGAGTCGTTGTACTAAGGGCGGCTTCGATTCCACAGTGTTGAAATCCAACTAGTTCTCGTATATCGGGTACTTGTCGCGGAGCTGCCTGCTCATGGTTGTTGCCTTGCCGAGAGACCCAGCGCCTCACTAGTGAAATGAATTGTGGACGTTCAATATGGGCACAATAGAATAAAACGTTGAAAGAGAAACTTATGTATTGTATTGGGATTGATCCGTTTTGTATTTTATTTTTAAATAATACAAAAAGGTGCAATTCACAACATGGATCTTCCCAGGCATGCTCATTTCGAAAGTGCACACCGACTATGGCAAGGTGGATGTGGCGGTGGGGCTGCTGGTACTTGGCAGGACTAAGTGTGCACGTCAACGCTGCCGTCTCTGTTGGGGGCTCCATTCAATCCACCCTCGCCTCGTTCCACCGCCCATTCCTTGAGATTCTCACGCCTCTGAACGGTCAAGTCGTCGAGTCGTCGGAAGTCGACATCGAACTTGTCGTTCGCGACTACATCATGCCGAGTTCGTTCCGTACGTACAAGGTGTGCCTGGGAATCCATGAAAATACAGCTATATCGAGCGACGGTGCTTCGGTTGGGGTGGTGGAGTTTTGCTTCGATCAGACGAGCAGCAAGCAGTTCCACGTCCAGAACCTCTTGCCAGGTACGTCGTATACGGTCCGCGTCGTCCTCGTGGACAAAGGCACCGTCATCGCCGTGTCCATGCGAACGTTCCGCGTCGCGGCCATCGCGATCCAAGGCCACACAGAAAACGTCACCATCCTCACCGCGATGCAGTACGCGCTGTCGTACCAAAACAACTTGGATACGGACTCGGCAATGCGAATCTACGAGAGCATCTTGGCGGAGGCCCCAGGTCATGGCCACGCGCTGCATCTGCTCGGTCTTGCCAAGTATCAAAGGGGCGATACAATGGAGGCCATCGATTATATCGAGCAAGCGCTGCAGACAAATGCCACCCATGAAGAGTTCCACAACTCGCTCGGCCTTTGCCTCAAGGACATCGGTCGCACGGCGGAAGCTGCCACGCACTTCGAGACTGCGATGTCGCTGCGTCCGTCCTACATCGAGCCACGATTCAATCTGGCATCGATTTGGCAGAGCACAGGCGAGTACGACCTCGCGATTCCAGTGTTTCGGGCAATGGCGGACAAGGTCCACAGCCAAACGCTGGCGCTCGAGTACGCTGCCCAGTTCGACGTGTTTGTGCGGTTATGCGACATTTACCTTGCTTCGAAGCAACAGAACATGGCACTCGAGTGCCTCAACGAAGCACTAGTGCTGTGGCCGAACGATCCCACCTTCCTCAACGAGCGAGGCAACCTCTACTTGAACGTACGTGTGCTCGTTATGCGCACCTGTGCTCATTTGTGGGACGTCCATGGGGAATAGGCGGGCTATCTCGACTTGGCAGAGGCCGATTACAAGATCGCGGCCGACGCAGGCGTCCTCATCTCCATGGTAATCCATTCCATCCACGAGTTCCTTCACGCAATGGATAGCTGAATCTGGCGATTACGTTGGACGCCTCGGGCGACACTGACGAAAGCATCAACTTATACTCCAAGGTTCGTTTGGTGTGTGCCACGGAATTCCCTCATCCTGTCGCGTCCAGATCCTGGCCGTAAGCGAAGCGCGAGGCTTACCAACCGGTCGGGTCTTGATCATGCGGGCCGGAGTAATGCCTCGAGTCCTACCAGCAGAGGGCCAACTGGTCGACCTCGCCCGGCAAGCCATGCGCCGTCGGTTGGACTCGATGCTCGCGCAAGGTCTGGAGTGGACAGCGAGGACAACTGACGAATGCGTGGTGTATAGACAATGTGACGGTCGACTCGAGGGACCCCATTTTGAATGCATACCCTACGGGAAACTATCTGGTGTCCCACCCGTACAACAACAAGCAGCTCAAGCGATCGCTCGCTCAAATGCTACAAATGTACTGCCCCGCGTTGAAGACGGCAGCATTCATCCCGCCGCCGAGTCCTTCGATTGCCACGGACCTTGGTGCGGTATCGTCGACGCACTTGGTATGATCCACACGGATGGGCTTATGCTCACGAATCGTGGTGGTTAAAGGAACTCACGTCGATGAACTCGCTGCAGTCGGACGTCCTTCCTGAGCTGCGCAGACGGCCTCGCATTGGTTTTGTCTCGGAATTCTATCAAACACAACCCATCAGCCATTGCATGCACGATCTTGTCGAGCGCCTGAACCGGTCCCAATTCGAACTGTTTGTCTTTGCCGTGTCGACTCCGCAATCGGCAAAGCTGCCAGCACTGACCGACGGGGTCGAGCACGTAAGCCACGTGCCATTTGAATCGACGCTGCGTGACGATATTGTCAGGTTATCGGGCTGCCCGAAGGAGTAGGGCCAAGCGCTGACGAGATTCGTCGGCACGACCTTGACGTGCTCGTTTACGCCGACGTATAATCGCTTGCCTGGAGAATGGATGGCTCAGGAAGCGGTCGTTGCTAGGTCGGGTCGGACAAGCTGAGCTTCTTTTTGTCGTTTGCAAATCTCGCCCCGATCCAAGCAGCGTGGGGACTGGGGCACCCTGAAACAACGGGCGTCCCAGCCATCGATTACATGGTGACGTCGGAATACGAGCACTTGTCCTTTCACGATCACTACACAGAGACGCCATTTCCACTCAAGTAAGTCGCCGACTGGGTCGACGCAACGGGCTTCCTGGTCTTATAGGGGCATGGGCATCTACTTGAAGGAGCCACTGACGCCACACATCTCCACGTACGCCAACTCGAGCCCCGACGACGTCCGTGCCACACTCACGCAAGCATTTCACCTCCCGTCGGAGTATCGATTCTACTTTGTCCCTGAGGTGTGTCGAAGCATGCCGTGGCAATCGTCGTGCAATTGACGCCACCGCTCTCTCTAGCCTCTCGTGAACGTCCACCCCGACATGGACTCGATCGTTCGCCGCATTTTAAAGCGCGATCCCATCGGCCACGTCTTTTTTCTCACGCCACCCAAGAATTCCAAGTGGAAGCATGCATTTACAGAACGGATCAAGCTCCAGCCAGGCCTCCCGGCCCATCGCATTCACCTCATCATCGACGCCCTCGACGATATCTCGACCTTTGCGCTCCTTCGCGCGTGCGATGTCCACCTCGCCAACCTGTACACCAATAAGTTCTACCACACCCTCGAGGTACGTCGTCGATATCTGTCATGACTTCATGGCGACCTTGGCAACTGCTGGATTTCTGTTGCACTGCCACGGCGTTCGCCGCTATGTTGTTGCTGTTTGGATGTGTGATGAATGGAGATGGTTGGTAGGCGTCGGCGGCGGGCGTCCCGACCATTACGTTGCCCGGCGAGTTGTGGCGCAGTCGCATTCCGCTTGGACTCCTCAAGCACATCAATGTCCTGGACACTGTCGCGACGACACCGGCCGAGTACGTTCAGCTAGCGGTGCGAGCGGCGTCGGATCGATCGTTTCGACATCAAGTCGTTGGGAAGCTGCAAAAGTATGCCCCGAAGCTGTACGGTGACGACGAAGCAGTTCATGAGTGGGCACGGTTTCTTCAGTTTGCTGTCGACAAAAGCCGACGGAAGCGCAAAACGCACGCCAACCTCCGAGCCCTGCAAGACAACCCAACGCACTCGACCAACGGCCTGGCCCCACCCACGGCGAAGGATGTCACGTTGTGACTTATCTAAGCGTAGTCGATCGAGTTGAGCTTTTCGAACGCCAACATGAGCGCTTGCGTGCCCAATTTTGGGCCATTCGGCAGCGCCTAGATGCGAAAACAAGCGTGAGATGGTGGCGTTGGCTAGACTGATCCATGACGTACTTGGACGGCGAGGTAGAGCTGGTTTGCGAGAGCCAAGCCAGGCAGTGACAGGCCCATGCTAGCAAAACACAATTGAGGTCGAATCGAATGCATGACCGAGACGTACGCTTGCGATTCCTTTAGGGCAATCCCCATGTCCTTGATAAAGTGCTCGACCATAAAGCCAGGGTTAAAGTCCCGCTTGGCAATGCGTGGGCCCATGTTGTTGATGGACCACGAGCCCGCGGCGCCGGCACCGACGGCCGCGATCGCCTCGTTCAGGTCCAGGCCGCTCTTGTACGCATACAACAAGCCTTCGACCACGCCAATCATGTTGGTGGCAATCAAGATCTGCGGTAATATAGTGATGGCCGGACCGTGTCATGGAGACACTAACCTGGTTGACCATCTTGGTGTGTTGGCCAGCGCCAGCGCCGCCCATGTGTCGGATGTTCTTGCCCATCACTTCAAACAATGGGCGGACCGTCGCAAGGGCCGCGGCGTCGCCACCGATCATGATGGACAAGCGCGCTTCCTTCGCACCGACGTCTCCGCCCGACACAGGCGCTAGAGTCCATGAGGCACACGTTGGACGGAAGTGTATGGATACCATCGATCGAGGACACGCCCTTGACGGCTGCTGCGGCGTAGATTTCCTTGGCCAAAGACGGCTCGCTCGTCGTCATGTCGACGACAATCCCGCCAGAGCGAAGGGTCGAAAGCACACCATTTGAGCCGAGAATCACCTGTAGGCATGGTAAGTCGATACCCGATGTGAGCGTCGGGATACTTCGCGGACGTCCGAGGGATACCCGACGATCGTAAAAACGACATCTACTCGGAACTTAGCACATCTGCAATCACACACAGAACACTAGACGGTTTGTACCCGCTTCTTTAGCCGCTTCGGCAGGCGAGAGCGCGAGCTTGGCCCCACGAGCTACAAGGTCGTCACACTTGCTCGCCGTGCGGCTGTACACGGTGAGAGAGTACCCAGCGTCCTACATCAGGCATGACGTAATCACCATCACGCTAGCAAGTGGACAAGCAAGACCGCCGCACAACCTACCAAGATATGCCCGGCCATGCTCTTTCCCATGATACCAATGCCAACAAACCCCACGCGAAGCTCGGACGCCATGATCGTGCTGCTTCCCATGGTTGAACTTTGCAAGTATGGATGTTCGACGGGACAATCAAGTATAACGTTTCCCAGGTGTATGCATTTTCAAAGGGTTTTCATCTGAGTATCCGGAAAGAGCGAAAATTAAATCAACGCTGGCGTCACAGGGTGGCATTCTATGGAAAAATATAGTGAAATTCAAATTCTATTTTAACCGTGTCGAGCTAATGGGTGAGGGTGGCGCAGGGTATCCGGATGACCCACCCAACAACCCCAACGCGACGAACCCAGTTGCGTCGATGCGGCGAAACTTGTCGACGCCATGGCTCCAGTGAGTGTGCTGCTCGAGTGCCAGGCGCCGTACACGGACTGGATCCTCCGTGGCCGCAAGACAATCGAAACGCGGCGATACCCCTTCCCAAGCCACCTGCTGCACAAGCCGATCTGGCTGTTGGAATCACCGAGTGGAGTCGTGGGATCGTCTTCGCTCCCGTCAGTCGTCGACTTGTCTGCAACACCTCGCGTCCGCGTCGTCGGGCGCATCGTTGTGTCGGCATCGTATGAATATACTAGCCGTGCGCAATGGGATGCTGACGCCGAAAACCACTGTGTTCCTCCTGATTCCGGCTATGCATGGACCGAGGGCACCGGCCAGTATTTCGGGTGGACGGTTGCGTCAGCGTCCGCATTGTCGCACGCCCCAACAAACCTGACGCACATTTTGCGCAGCTACCGGTCCTTCTTCGTACCAGTCATTCCTGTGCCAACTGTGGACCTTTCAGAACCATTTCGCCCCGATGTCCTTGCTGCCGTGGAGGCTCAATGTGCATCCCTCGGCTTCCTTCGCGTGTCGTGGTCGTCCTTCCCCAAAGACGTGGTGCGCAATGCTCACGATGCCATGCGTCGCTTCTTCGACTGCGATCTCTCTGTCAAGGAAGCTGTCACGTTGCCACTGTCTGCCACGACCTTCAAAGGCACACCGCGGCCGTACAAACCTACGGGCTACCGCGGCGTGCGTACGATGCACAACGGCGAGGGCCGAGAGACATGGAGCTGTACTCGACCGGACTACGACCCCGGCCACCCCGATTTTGCCGATCCATATTATACCACTTCCGGTTGTCATGTGTTTGCAACTCCGCCGATTCCACAGGTGCTGTGGCCAGACGAGGAACAGGTTCCAGGATTCCGCGCGGCACTGACGGCGTATTACGCCGCGATGGATGCACTGGGCAAGGTCCTATTTCGAGTGTTTGCCCGCATCCTTCAACTGCCGGACGACGAAGCTCTCGTCAACTTGGCCCGACGACATGCGAGCAGCATGAATGCAAGTCGACTACACCCGTCCGAAGACAAGCAAGGCGGCGGCGTTGTTCTCATGCCGCATGCCGACATTACGTGCTTTACGATTCTCAGCCATGATGCTGAAGGCGCTGGCGCAGCATGTCTTGAAGTGCTTCATCCACTCGCGAACCGTCCGACGGGTGACGACGACGAAGCGCGGGTTGTGTGGGTGGGCATTGCTCCAGACAACAGCAGCAAAGGTGATGAAGCCTTCCTTGTCAACGTTGGGCAAATTCTGGAACGATGGTCGAATGGGCGATTGAAGGCCACGTTGCATCGAGTGGTGAAGCCTGTGCATCCATCGACGGTGGCAACGAAACGTCGGCAAGCGCTGGTGTACTTTCAAGTAGCCGACTACGACGCAGTCTTGACTCCAATGGTGGAAAGAACTGACGACAACCCGTCGCGATGGAAACCCGAGCGCATGGACGCATTCACATCGACACGGTTTGGCCCGATCGCGGACAAGACTCTGGACACTGTCGATGCATACGCGGTGTACAACCAAGACGTGATGGCGCGTGACGCGTTTGTGCGCCTCGCTAGAGAGTCGTAGCAATACCTTGAACAGAATCCAAGATGGCCATGTCGCCACAGATACCTGATGGAGAAAGCGCTGCATAAACGGATTCGCTTTGCTGTTCATGAGAATGTATCACCGGAGACCTGTCGAGACGCGTCAAGTCCATGAAAGAAGGCACCTGGAGACCGTCTCATGCAGCGAGTTCTGCGTTCATCACCAAGATTGCACTCAGAGCGCCGTCACTTTTACACGACGTCCTCGTTTCTTTCCAAGAGCTTGTATCATGCGTACTACGCGTCCATGACCCCTGCTCGGCATGGCGTCCTCGTCGAGGAATGCATGCATGTCGAAACCTGTCAAATATTATGAATATATTGTATAAATGCATAATTTCGAAACATAATCTGTAGCTGTTCTCGTAAAACATTATACTGCGCTTTATTGCAAGCGGTGCATCTTGTCATCATGACGGCGGCCTCCACGCTTCGTGTGGGCTTTATTGGCGCGGGCATCATGGGGAAGAGCATGTGTGGCCACATTCTGGTGTGATGTCGATGCGATAAACTGTTCCCTATCGTTATTGTGCCCCTTATAGAGTGGAGGGTATCCTGTGACGACGTTCAGCCGCACAGCGTCCAAGTGCCAGTCGCTTGTCGAGAGAGGTGCTGTGTTGGCTGCGACACCAGCGGAAGTCGCACGTCAATCGGGTATCGTCCTGTGTGCATTTATCTTCCTACTTGCTTGACATGGTGCTTGTCATCTAGACGTCCTGTTCACGATCGTCGGGTATCCGAGCGATGTGTGCCAGGTATGACTCGTGCTCGTGAAGGACGCAACGACGTTGACATGCGCGCAGGTCATCTTGGGTGAACATGGAGCGCTGTCGGCAATGAAACCTGGTGGAATCATCGTGGACATGACAACCAGCGAGCCGAGTTTGGCCAAGGAAATCTTCAACCAGGCACAGCAAAAGGGCGTGTCGTCCATCGATGGTACGCCCATGCCGAGGCAACTACTCCCCTCTCTCTCATCATGATCTGAATTCTACCAGCTCCTGTGTCGGGGGGCGACATTGGCGCGAGGGATGCAACGCTGTCCATCATGGCAGGCGGTGAAGTCGACGCCATTGCACGAGTCCTCCCGTTGTTCAAATTGATGGGCAAGAACATTCGGCACATGGGCGGCGCCGGCGCTGGCCAACACACCAAGATGGTCAACCAAGTTCGTACTGTCGAATGCAGAATGCGATGCCATGGCCATGTGTCATGACGTTGTGCTGCCACAGATCTTGATTGCCACCAACATGATTGGCGTCGTCGAGGGCTTGTTGTACGCGCACAAGAGTGGGCTGGACCTGAACGAGGCAATCGCAGCCGTCGGTGCCGGCGCAGCAGGCTCGTGGTCCATCAACAACCTCGGGCCACGTATTGCCAGGCGGGACTTTAAACCTGGGTTTATGGTCGACCATTTCATCAAGGACTTGGGGATTGCCCTCAAGGAATCGCAAGCGTACGTGGCAACGACAGTCGAAGGGATTGATGGGCTCGGATGATGTAGCATGGGTTTATCGTTGCCTGGGTTGGCGCTGGCAAACCAGCTCTACGTCGCTGTGCAGGTACGTGAGCGAACTGGAACCAGCTTGTCGAGGACATTGCTCTGTCGTAGGCGCAAGAACATGGCGGCCGTCTCGGCACCCAAGCGCTTATGTTGGCGTTTGAGAAGCTGAACAACATCCAGTCATAGTGGAAGCATGTCCAGCGTGATGGGGAAGCAAACGCCACTGGCAAGCCATGCCATCAGCATTGCCAACACTGCAGCGTCAAATACAAGCACGTCGGGTGATGAATGGTCATTACTTGGACTGGTTGTGGGCAGTCGTTGTGATATTGTGTCGCGCGAGCTTTTCCTTTTTTGACCGCGACACGTACTGATACAGCAGCAAGAGAGTGGCGGATCGGACGCCACTGATTCGACTAGCAGCATGCAGTGTCGTGGGGCGCGCGTCGAGCAGTTTTTCCTTCTCTTCGTTTGACAGCATGGGCAGCGACTACGCACAGACAACCAACCGTTCACAACGTGTCGACGGGCATGCTATCGTTGTCTACCGCATAGTCCAAATCTTCCGGCAGTCGAACATGGGCTTTCGACCGAAGCGCGTCGATTTCCTTTTGTTGTAGTCGCAGCTGGGTTGCGTACAAGCACTCTGTCTTCATGTACGCTCGCACGATGGGATGGATATCTGCGCTGCCACTCAGCACGCAAGACGAAGCAGCCTCGCACCTTTTTGGTATCCTTTGGCTTGCCACATGCGCAGCACATCGTCGCACGACACTACCACGCCATCGTCATCCATCGACCATCGAACGAGTGGTGTACCGTGGGGAAACGCAAGCACGTCGGCGGCAGACCGCTTGACGCCGTCTTTCGACATGGTCAAGTTGTCCATTTTGCTCCATTCATGAGGGTCCATTTCGAACCCGAGCAAGCTTTTCCACGCGTCGTTCACGAGCGCTTCCTTGTGTCTCAACACGTCCATGCGCTGTTCAGACACAAACCCAGCTTCGTACGCGCGTCGAGTCAATCGCAAGTCGCAATTGTCCTGAAGAGCACGAATCCATTCATTCCTCGACGACGGGTCACGAACAAACCTGGCGCAACATCAAGCGGTACTCGGACCGAGACGTAAACATGCGGTAGGGCTCTTTCGTGCCCAAACTCACAAGGTCGTCAATGAGCACGCCAATGAAGCCGTCGGCGCGATCCAGTGTAAACGATGGTTTCCCTGCATATCGAAACATGTCACGATCGCGACGAATCGAACGTCGACAACGTACCACGAACTCGCAAGCCTGCGTTGGCTCCTGCAATGATGCCCTGCGCGCCAGCCTCTTCGTACCCTGCAATGGCGCTTAGAACACAAAAGTCGCTTCAGCACGACGCACCGGTCGTGCCGTTGATTTGACCAGCCAAGTACAGCCCTGGGACGTGCTTTGTTTCAAGGGTGTGGTGCAGTGCTCGCGGGTCGACAAAGTCGTACTCGACCGAATACCCCGGTTTGACTAACTCGGCACGTTCCAAGCCACGAATCGTTCGAATCAAGTCGACTTGCAAGTGCTCTGGCAACGCCGTGCTCACGCCTATGCCATCATCACAATTGTCCACATGTGGTGTGTCGCTACCAACCATTGGGGTACACCACGTCCGTGTGGAGACCTTCCGGCTCAAGCCAGACTTGATGCCTCGTACGGTCGGCAAACCGAGTCACCTTGGCATCAATGGATGGGCAGTATCGAGGTCCAATGCCTTTGCCGTCGTTCTCGGAATACTGCGGCAAGAAATGCAGGTTCTCGCGTACGATGGCATGCGTGGCTTCGTTGGTGTACGTGACGTGGCACGGGCGAAACGATGCGTGCAGCGGCAACGGCTGGTCGAACCCATGAAGGAACGAAAACGGAGTTGGAGCGACATCGCTGGGTTGCACTTCCAAACCTACTCTCGAAAAGACGCATGGTCGAGAAGGGCGAAAAAAACCATCGGCTGGTCGGTACCGTCCAAGCAGATTGTTCGTCCATCCAAACGAGGAGGGGTGCCCGTTTTTAAACGACCCAACGGAAACTTGAATCGCTCCAATGTTGCAGCAAGGCCCATCGACGGTGCTTCGACGCCGTGCCTGGCCGCCAGGCACACGGTCATGCCAGGTTCACATGGATGCAACACGCTTACGACTCGCGAAGAGCTCGACCAGCGGGAAACGACTTGTCCCCGATAAAGATGCGACCGCGCAGGAACGTGCCAGTCGTAATTACCTGACGACGGACGGTCACATGGGGGAAACGTGAGCAATTCATACCACTGCCGAGGTGTGGATCGTGCGTGCGTCGGACGTGACGACTCCCGTCACGCGCCCCGTTTCAGCGCAAATCAAGATGTCTTCTGCACCAGCCTCTACCATGGACAAGTTTTCTGCGGTAGCGTGAGTGCGACAATGTGACGAGTTTTCACTTGCCTTGGTCTTGGAGAGCGACTTGCATGTTGTGTCGGTAAATATCGCGGTCCATTTGAGCGCGTGGTCCACGAACAGCAGGACCTTTGGACGCATTCAACATCTACAAGCGAGGCATGTTGGGATGGATGGGGAATCGCGAGACCAACGAACACGGAATTGAATGCCCGCCGAGTCGGCCACCCGGCCCATGAGTCCATCTAACGCGTCAATTTCGCGAACCAATGTGCCCTTTCCAACACCACCAATCGAGGGCTGCGATCCACGTATTAGGCATGAACGAACAACATCGAGCGACGCACATTGCACGACATTTCCCCGACCGTATCGAGTTTCTACAAGCCATCGACGGGTTTACAAAGGGATGGGTAGAGTGAACATTACGTGGTTACATTTACCTGTGTGAGCAATGCAGTTTGAGCCCCTGCGCAAATACAACACACCTGTTGTCATCAACTGCGCGCGAAGAGGAGATATCGTCTCAAACCTGTTCTTGCAGCCGCTGCTGCAGCCTCACAGCCAGCATGTCCGCCACCAATCACAACGACGTCATACTTGATGCATGCCGAATACGGGCGCACGAAGCGCGGTGCCGCAACAATGGCGCGTGGACGCCGCGCGGCGGCAACGACGCACCGATGCATGCTCGACTCGGGAATTTCAATGGATGGGCCAACCAAATCACAGGGAGATCGCACTTAAAAACGCACGGTTGTTCCGATTAAGTACGTGTCACGCCGACGGACGAGGAATGCCCGATGGGCATGGCATGAAAGGGGGTGCATGAACGTCCGGAGATGTCGTCTGGTTGGGACGTGTATCGCTGGATGAGAGGGTGGACGAAATGGAGGCACGGGGTTGATGCTCGGACGGTCGCATGACTATATATATAGCCATGGATGACAGTTGCTGCATATTGTAAAGAGCGCACGATGTGGGAGTGGCGACTGTGCGGCCACTTGAATGAAACCACACAGGAACTGCTGGATACACTGGCCATCACGTTGGGGGCGTTGAAAGTCAGTCACGCGTTGATGCCCGAGCGCCGCGCCGACCTCTTCATCGTGTTGCCCACGCCAAACATCGGCATCAAGTTTCGCAACCTCGCGTCGTCGGCGCCGCCAATGTTGGAGGTACCATCACCGACGCTCGCGCGTCAGCGTCTCATGTTGGTGGACACACGATGCAGATCAAATGCGCCAAGGAAATCGATGGCACATGTGGGGCGCAACAATGGCTCAAGAAGCGCGTGCACGTGCCGGAGGACCTTGACGTGGACGACGATGATGCTGTGAAACAAGCCATCGTGGGAAGTGGTGTCGAAGAGCTTGAGCAAGTGGAGATCAAGTTTCCATTGCAGCGATTGCGCTTGGAGAAAGAGCGGCAGCAGTGGCGCCTTGTCACCCCGACAAAGCCCGTCCAGGTGCTGTCGCACGACTTGCTTTATGCTGACAGCGGAAGGGCAGGTCGAGATCACGTTGCTGGCCACCTCCATGAATAAAGCAACGACGAAAGGGTCTTACTTTACCATCTGCGTTGAATCCAAGAGTGCCGACGCCCTCGTGGAATGCCTCGTCAAGCTCGCTGTTGGAGAGGTTTTTGTGTCAATATCGACCCCGTCATTACACGCCATGTGTGCCATAGGTATTTGAGCCGCATGCGATCCAGAACATTTACGTCATGGACACGATCCACGTCAAGCACCCGGTGGCACCAACAAGTCCGTCCAAGGCAGACGTGGCCACGATGGTGCCGCCGAGCCAAGGCCCTGTCGATACCAACGGACCCAACGCGCCGAGTCCACTCAAGCGCAAGATTGCCGCGGAAGGGTCGCGCCTCCGCCTCATCGAGATGGGGTACCCTGCGCTCGGATGCCATCTCGTCCAGGCGTCCATCTCGATGCACAGCAAAGAAAAAGTTGCGCACACTGGTGGCGCCCACCGTTCGATTCACGACAACGCATGGTCGATTAATCATTAATATACAAACGCGTCCCGGTCGGATCGAGAACCAACGACGACGATGATGACGATGACGACATGCGCTGACGAAACAGCGACCGAGGGGTCGTCACCACGCTGGCTTGGTCGGAGCCCGCGTCGTCACAGTACCGCCCAGAGGCCGTGCGCGGGGTCGCGTCCGAGAGAGATCGATATCTCGAGAGATGTCTGGCATGGGCACCGATCCCTTCGTCCGCAATCGAGAGACGCATCCCGTCATTGCGAAAGTTGTCGAGGGAATCGCACGTGCCCAAGAGCACCGAGAAGAACCGGTCGTACTCGGCATGGCGCAGCATGAGGCAGCATGTCGAAAACGGCACTTTGCCCAGCCGCGTTTTGTCCATGTATCGAAACAAAATGGACGCGTTCAGCTTGGACCGGTCCGTGCCGACCCACTCGGCGAGAAACATCGCGAGCTCTTCCTCGTACAAGTGATCGATGCCGTCGCGGTCGTACTTGTCGAAAATCAGTCGGAGCTGCTTCATGTACTCAAACTGTTCGACGACCGCCGATCGCTTCGCCGTGAGTTCGCGTAGCTGCTTGAGCCGCAAATAACTCGGGTTTCCAATCGACGTCGGCACTTTGTTGCCTTGCGTGACCAAGTACCGCAGGACAAAGCCCAAATGCTCCAAAATGATGAACGCAATGACTTGGGCCATCATGATGTTGCTGCGGTCCCCATGAAGCTGCTGGTGGCACAACTCTGGGTTCACGGCCGCGGACGTTTTCACCGTGAAGAGAGGGACCATGTCTGCGTTTGAAAACGAAAAGTTGCACTCGTTCATGTAGTACGCAATCCCATGGTACCTACGCATGCATGTTGAAAAACCACCACACGCCACGGGCGCTCGGAGCGACCTTGGACATGCAACACGTACATGACGATGAATGCCGAGACGACCGTGATCCCGATAATGTTGGCGTACTGCAGAACCGTGGCCCACTCGCCAATCGACACCTACACACCACATGCCAGGACTGGGTACAGACAGCGACGACGTACATCACGTCGAGGCATGGGGCGGCGATGGCAAAACAGCAATCGAAACGCGTCGCCGCGCACTTCCAAGATGTTGTTGATAAAGGCCGGGATCGGAAGCAGCGGCCACACCACCGAGAACATGACCACGTACGAAAACTGAATCGCTGCGTCCAAATAATCCAATTGCGTGTCAAACTCGGGCAACGTCGCCTCGGCCACAATCTACACGCGACCGCATTTCAAAACCGCACGCAGTCATCGACTCGACGCCTGTACCTCGTACGCCGTGTGCTGGTTGTCATCGTCCGAGCGCTCCAGCACTGGGACAAAAAATCGCGTGGTCGACGTCACGTCCTTGGACAGCCTGCGGGCCGACTTGTTGTTGGTCGCGCGCTTGGCGTGCGTCATAAACTCCCGGCGCAGCGTGCAGCTCCACGTGTTGAACCAATACCGCACGCTGAACGGCTTCCCACGATATTTTTTCATCACGTACGGCACCCACGTTTCCAAGATCATGTTGAGAAACTGAGTGGCGACCAGGGGGGTCACAAAGAGCTGGTCGAGCGACAGCACTGTCGGGTCCCAAGTCCACTTGAGCTTGATGTTGAGGCTGTCGCAAATCTAGGCGCAGACGTCACGGTCGGTCCAACGACGACCTCACGGGTACCTTTTTGAAGTAAATGTTGATGAGTTCGCCGTACGGAATGTACACGAACGCGAGAAAGAGAAACCAAAAGAACCAATTTGTCCAGACAAACACAAACGAACGATGGATGAGCTACAAAAACAACGATGACGTGAGCCGTCGTGCGGCATCCTCGTCCGCACCTTGGCCTCAAATTGAGACTTCTTGGCGCAATTTTCCCAGTGGACAAACTTGATCGAGAGCCATCGAAAAAACTCGAAAAACACCACGTCGATCATGAGCCCCAGCACGATCCCTACACCCGAGTGACCCATTCGCTCGATGTCGCCGCTGCTGCATGTACCTTGCGCGAGAATATACACCCACCGATCCGTGCCAACCAGCGAACTCGACGAGTTGAAGCACGTGAGAAATTGTTTGCAGTCGAAAATGGTCTGTTCGTTCAACGGGACTGCCTTCAGCGCTTCTTTGCATTCGCCGCACGACAGCACGGTCTTGGCATACACATACCACTGCAAAACACGTCAACCACCTCGCCATACCATATCAAACGTACTTGGATAAACGGGAGGATACAGATGCACTGAATGACGCAACTCAACAAGACAAAAAAGCCCATCGTGACCCGCATCGCGCCGAGTTTTCGCGTCTTCGGCACCTTTTCGTACTGATGGGTCAACACATTCTGCTCCCACGTGTACTCGTAATGCGGATTTTCGTCGTTGGCTTCAAACGCCGTTTGCTTGTATCTAGGAAAATCCACAACCACCGTTCAACAAATGCAGTCTCGTTGGAGAATAATCGTACCCGCCGAGATTCCACTTTTCCGCGAGCAAGAGCGTCTCTCGGTTCCACAAGTGCAGCAAAATCGGGCCCCACACACTCGTGATCAAAAAGCCGAGGATCGCTAGCCCGACCAAGTATGAATCCCACGTATTCGGGCCGAACCGGAACGCCATGTAGTACGTCACGAGGATGAGCAAGAGCGGCAACAGCGCCTTGGTGTAAATGTGCATGAATGCAAACAAAAATGCCACGCGTTCGCCAAAGTGCAGTCGCAATTCTAGCCAATGTTGTAATGCGTCGCAGGCGGCAAACCATGCGCACCTTCGATGGCCCAACGTTCCGAATTACCAGTGACGGTCTTGCCCCACCGCAACTTGAACGTGTGGCGGCGGTACTCGTTGAAAAACTCGTTGTTGAACCTACTCCGCACCCGCGTCAGTCGGCGCTTCCTTTACAATCCACATTACTTTTTGTCGTGAAGCGGAAACATCGCGTGCACGACGTCGAGCACGCACGGCACAAAATTGCGGTCCAAGTCGCACACGTCTTGGTCGTAGTCCCGAAATGCATTGCGGATGATGTTGTGTGTGAGTTGGAGCTCCAAAGCAGGCGAAAAGCAAATGTCCTTGGAACCTACAATCGCGCGGATGCAGCGCAAGCACGGATGCATGCGCCACACCTGAGATGGGAAGCCGAGCTTCGCCGAGACGGGCTGTCGCGTTGCCTTGGTGGATCGCGAGCTCGTCCTTCTCACGCATGAATTCCAGGTTCAGCAGCCCTTTGCTCTGTCGACACCAAGCGGTAAACATGGCGGAAACGGGAAAGAAAACAATCCCGATACCTTGTACGGATCGACGAGGATGCAAATGTTGTCCGTTTGACCATGCTTGGCGTCCTTGTCGCTGATGTACGTGTCGTTGTCGAGCAGGATTACGCCAAGACCGGCTTGGACGAGTCGCCGCAGCGCCTTTTGCTGGAGAGCAGCCACATGCGCTGTCATGTCGGCGGGGGTCAGATTCGCCCGCTGCGTTGCATTGGTCGCTTCCTGTAGTCGTTCTTTGTACAGCCTACTTGTCCGGTGACAACGCCCAAGTCCACGAGCCCAACGTACCGCGCCACTTGCTGATTGTTGCGCAGAATGATCGCAAACGTGTATCGCTGGGTCTCCTGCAGCGTGACGCGGGGAATTGAGAATGGCGTCATGTCTGCATACACGTCACGGTCGATGGAACGAGATCATATTTGGTGCACCGAAGGCGACGGACCTGGACGACGGGGGTGCGACGTGTACAGAGTGCCCCGAAGACCGCCCTGCGACGTTGCAACTGATTTTCTGTGCAGAGACTCCTTTTCCAGATCCAACGGAAGCATCCCGTCGACATCGGTCACGACATTGGTAGGGGTCGCGTGGGACTCGTACGTTTCTGTCGGAGCAGTGCCTGATCGATTGTCGTTGAATGTTCCGGAGCCAGAGGTCAAGAGGCGGCGGACTGCGACTGGAAGCAATCGCATGGCGCTCGTCCTCGACGTCAACGAGTACGAACGATGGTCGGTCGGCACAGCATCGACCGAGTCAACCTGTCTTTCGTGCCTCAGCTGCTGCTCTTCAAGTACATCGATAGATTCGTAGGCGCCTTCGCTGCCATCCCGTCGTGGACGCAAGTCTCCTCGCCGACCGCGTCGATCTGCCATCCGCCGGCAAGAGCGCTCTTGTTCTGATCACGTTGCAAATTCAACAACAGCCCGGGCAAATAAAAATATCTGGATTTCGCTTGATGACTGTATGCAATAAAATACATTTTCGTGTTCACAAATATATACGACCGTGCTTGGAGTGTTTGTTATGCGTGGTTCAGTTGCCGGGAAATCTCACGTCGTCCGCGGCGTTCGGGCGAGGTCGCTGGACTCCACGTGAACCAGCACAGTGTTCACGTCACCGATGCCTGGCGCTGAACGTCCTGGACCATGCAAAGCCATTGCGATCGAGCTCGAGAAGCGAGAAGACGGATCTGTCTCTGCCACGGCGTCCTGGGCGGAATAGTCGAGGCATGCACCCCAGTCGTGCGAGCCCGTTCGACTCGAACCATCATGTGAACGTTAGAGTCACCACCACTGCGTCCAGCACGAAATGAGGACGGCACATGAGCCAGCGGCGTGACGCTGGCTGGCGGCATCGGGTCCTACGACCACCGTCATCATGGTCAAGTTGCGTTGGATGTCGTCGCTGAGTTTAACGTAATCGCGTTTAATTTTTTTATCCGGACGCGGGGTGCTGCGGGGTATGGCGCCATTGGGCGGAAGCGCCGACACGAGGTACACCATGCACGGAAGCCCTGTCCTCCTCCAAGAAGAAAACTTCTCCACGTGGAAGCATGCGTTCGCCATGGCGGCTACGGCGCATGGATGGATGTCGTATTACACATCGCCTTTCTTTGAAGACCCCCGCGTACTGACACAAACGATGGCGGCCCTGCAAGTTGCCATGGATGCAGAGCTGCTGCGGCAGCCTCAAATGCTTCAGCACACGACGGCTCACGAAGACAAGGATGCGTCGCTTGTCGAGCAGAACCTCCACGACTCCCTCCGTCGCGATGCACTTCGACAGCACAAATTTCGCGAACTGCATGCGCACGTCGCGGCGGAATTCCAAGTCCAAGCTCGATTGTTCATATCGTCGTCCCTTTCCCATCCATTGCAACTCGCCGTGCAATCAATCGAGTGCCCATATCGTATGTACACGTTTCTTCAAGATCGATTCGAGCACGACGCCATGGACTCGCTGGACGTCCTGCGTCTGCTCCTGGCCCCGATCGCCCTGGAACGTCCAGACGAGCGCATCCTTTCCTTTCATTTTGATCGCATCGACATCTTACTCGGCCGATTTCAGTCCAAGATCATTCCTCCGCATTGGGCTGCAATGTCGACAGCCGATTACCATTTCCACGTTTGGACGCACTCCACGCCGCCTTCCTTCGCCACAGTCTCACGAACATCACCGTCGACATGGTCCATCGATCTACGTTTTCTTCCAGAGGAGAGGACGTCACCGAGGTCAACCGGCTCAGGAACCACATCTACCGCCAATTTAAGCAGTCGCCACCTCCTCAAGCTCGCGACTCCTCACCACCGCCTCAAGACAAACCCGCTGACAGCTTGAGACCAACGTCGCAGGATGGCGTCGAAGCAGGGGGCGCATGCACTGAACAGCAACCTGCACGACCCTTGGACGACCAGAACCAGGTCCAAATCGAAGGACTTGGGCCAGCCAGCGTCGAACTCGAGGCTTCAGTTCATTCCCACCGCCTCGAGCGATCCCCCGTCCCACACCTCCGCGCGGAGGATGCACAACTTTGTCTGCATGCTGAACACCCGATCGTCAACCCACACCAAGACGAAAGCACCCCGTCGCCACAGGCATCACGACCACCAGTGCCCACATATCCTCCTGCCCAAGTAAACCGAGAGGCTGCAGAATCAGCCAACTCCATCGGTCACCCGTGCAGTGAGGCGAGAACGCCATCCGTGCCACCTGCTCTCTCACATGAAACCTCAACTCCAAAAGTCGATCCAAAACCAGTGGCATCCGCAGCAGACAACAGTCGCGCGACTGAAGAAAAGAATTATGCAAGCGTCGGCGCTACATCGACTGAAAAGGAAAATGCTGATGCGTGCAGCGATGCAGACGAGGGTGGGTCCAAGCCACAGTCGTGCCATCACCAGCGCCACCATCCACACGAACATCGCCACCGTAAGTCGCCGATTGCAGCAGATTCATGGACCATTCCAAAAAAGCCTAAGGCCGCCGGAACTCTGCCCCCTGCGACACGTGATGAGATGCCGTCGTCAGGCTCTCCTGCACTCGGCCGTCGGGACAGCACTTCCAGCATTGCTTCTTCGCACGCCATGGCGCAGCCGACGTTGAGTCGAAGGGCCAGCACGTCCAGCATGGACATGTTTCCGCGTTTGAAACATGCGGGGGGTACTAGCAACGACAAAGACCCCCCGTTGAACCGACGCCGAGAGGAGTCCGAATGCAAAACGAGCCGATGGGCCCCCAATCCTCCACTATCTGAAGCCCCATTGAGTTCGCTCGCGCAGGACAATTCGACTCCTCATGCAGCGAAGACATGCTCGCTTGCGATGGACCTGTCCCAGATTCGAGTTGACGTTGCCACCGTGTCTCGCTGCGTGTACTTTTCCCAGTTGGGTCGCCACATCACTGAATCCGCTCTCGACCAGCTCTGCCGCCCGTATGGACTCGAGGTGCGTAATCCGAATCGTTTGGTTGCCTTGTCCAAACATGGAATGCACAGATCGACCCGTCGACGACGTTTCCTCGGATTGAAGTGTTCATGTGCCAGCGCACGCTTCGTCCCCGCCGCGATGCCGCCGTGTACTTCAACTCGCCCGGCGACGTAACTCGTGCAATTCCAACCCTGCAAGGTGTGCACGTCCGTGTGTGTGTGCCAGCATATGCACAACCTGACTTGAATCGCCAGGGCTTCGTTTCGGTGCCAAGCAGATTGCGTTGAACGTGCGGGCGATGGACGAAGGGACGTATCGAGTGCTGCTTGCTCAACAACGACACAACGATCGACCGAAGTGGACGTGTGTGCAGTGCCGCACCTCCGTGCTTGGTTGGCGCCTCCACTGCGACTCGTGCAATGCGCAACGCGTATTTCCTCCACCTGACTCGGATATCTCTCCCACGGACTGGGTGTGCATCCTGTACGACTCCATCTATCCTGCGATGGCTGACATGTGCGTGGCTAGCTGCCGTACGTCCAATAGCGATTCCATTGCGACGAGTCGAGGATGCCACCTGAGTTACTGAACGTGTGGCTGTCTTAGCTTTGCAAGCACAGCAGTCAGTTTGTCGACGGCCTTGTCGCACGTGGCTATCACGACCAAGTCGTGCCGCCGAACCGTGCGGTCTAAAGTTCCAAAGGACGATCTAGTGGTGTCCATGTCGTTTTCTTGCTCGACCTTGCCTTTCCACTTGGTCAAGATCGCATCCAGCCCTTGATGGCGCCGTTGGTGCGTGCGCCTCATGGATCTCGCGAGGGCCATGACTCTAGACGTCGCTTTGAATCAACTACAAGACTCACGTTGGTGGCTTGGTACCTATATTTGAGCACTCTGGCGGTGTGAAGCGCCTTGGTGACGTCATGGCGGAGCTGCCCCGCAGGACTGCATGACATGAGCTTGTAGCGACGCCACTCGGCCTAACAAACCACCCTCACGATGCTGCATGTGTTGTCGAGTACCTGGATAAGGTGGACTGCAAGCGATCGCATTTGTTGGACTTCCTCACGCTCCTTGATGGTATCGATCACGCATTGCTCGTTGGGGCTGATGGCCAGCGCTCCGACCACCACCACGCGGCACATGGAGCAAATCGCCGCGCCGCCAACGACGCCGCCAACCACGATGAAGACGCGGCCCGGGAACCCCACGACGGCGCAGTCGCCGTACCCAACCGTGCTCTACCACCCACCGTGTGATACGCGCAAGTCTCGACATGCACTTCGTACGATCGTAACGACGACGAGCCACAGGACGTCAACATACTCGGCGAGGTCCCCGTTGGCAATCGAGCGTTCGGCTTGATCGACGGCCCATGCCGTGAGCGTCCAAAGCGCGATCAAAATGAACGCGGAAAACGCGGCCGGGTAAAACCGAAAGAGAAATTTGCGAACAAACCAAGCCGACGCCGCGTCGACGTTTTGAAGCGAACCTACATGCCAAAAGCATGAAAACCCACGAGAGCCGCCGGCGCATGGCCGCGCACCGATGAGTTTCACTTCGTTCGTGTTGAACCCAAACACGTTGCGAATGTACCGCCCGACGAGGTAGATGCGAGGCACGAGAACGATGCCTGCGCACTCAACGATGACACGCTCGCCTTTGACCGAACGACGCACCGAATTGCGAGATGCTGATCGTCGTGGGGGCGTAGCAATTGTACGCGACGTACATGGGGTACTTGGGGCACAGCGGGGCGGCAGCTTCGCGAGTCACCGACTGAGCGCCATGTCAGCTCGACGACGACGACCAAGGACCGTACGAAAGAATTGGCGTAAATGTAGACGAGCGTCTGGAGCGTGTACTGGCCAAGTCCCGGTGGAATGTGCACGAGCAGGAGCGACAACTCGATGCAAAAGTCCCTGCGACCGCGTTGTGGGTCGCGACTGGTTCGCGATGGCTCACCAGACCAACGGCGTGTGGTAAAACTTGGACGCGGATGGGAGGCTGGACGAAGCGACTTTGATGCGAGCTGCCAAGGCTAAATCGAGGGAGAAGTGACGAGAGGCAGAGAAAGAAGGGAGTGTACTGTAGCGGCGGAAAAGCAGGACAAGCAGGGCAGCGGTGGCCACCGTGACGATGCCCTTGGTCGTTTCCACGGCGATCGTGGTCCAGGGGAGACGTCCGTGCAGCTACAGCAGCGTGAGCCATGTCGATGTTGAGGACGTACGTAAGACGAAGCAGCTTCGGCAACGATGCTGACGATGGCGAGGTAAAACATGGCATTCTCGAGCGTGCGCTGCTTTTCATAGAGCTACTTGTCATCGCATCATGCCGTGTTCACGACGACGTCTTCCACGTACGAGCTTGAGGGCATACAGTCCACCTAGGTCGCGAACGGTGCTGGACCACATCACGTCGTTCTTGGACGCGCGTTCAGCCATCTAATCGTGTGACGCGTCAAGAACAGGTCGTCGCGAGGTCGCTACGGACTTGAGCGCGGTAGATGTCGGCTCGGTTGACGATAGCATCTCTCCGACGCGCAGATCGGATGACGGTCGGGATGGAAGAAGTCGATGACTCGACAATGGCGACGTCCTCCAACGTCACTGCCGCCTCCATGCACACGTGCCAGTTCCCCGACGTGACAGCAGAATGCGTCTATCTTTAGCCGTGGCACTGGTCCTTCGATCAAGTAAACGTTGCAATGTCGTGCGGCGGCCAACGCGACGGATGCACTCGCAGGATCAAAGGAGCGACAGAACGGACTGCCGAGTCGAGCGAGGACGTGGGGGAAGGATGCTGCATGCAGTGTGCCTCCGGTGTGCTGCTTGGAATGAAGCCGCCACGTACAGATGGAGTTTGCACCATTTTCTTGGTCGGTGACACGACCCTTTCACCAGCACGTCGTTTTCACGACAATCCCCGTGACGCGTTCATCCGTCTCGTAGTAGAGAGAGGAAGGGGGGAGGTTTGCGGACCGCCAGAGAGCGACGACGTGTTGTTTGTGGGGGAACCTCAAGAAGGGAGAGCACATACAACCAACTGGAAACGAAATCACACTCGTCGCTAGCACACCGAGAAAACGAGAAGTCTCGACGGCATGTTCTCGATGCTTTGTCAAACTACTCCCATGACATGGCTTCCGCTACCGCCTGGCCACGTCGGATGCGGCGCTCTGCCACGGCATGGAACGCCGCCGAGATGGCCTCGGCCCCTTCATCAATCAAACACGTCTGATCGAGACCCTGACGATCTTGACTCGTCTGGTGGCGCGCATGACGTGGCGTCACGTGCGACGGGATGGCTGCAACGAGCTCGTCGGCGCGGGCACTCCAGTTCGTGTGCTGACCGTCTCCCATGCGATGCACGTTCACGACAGCGTTTCCGTTGACAAAAAACAATTCGTTCGTGTCGAGTTCGGGCCAGAACTGCGCCAAACTGCCACACAATGTCGACGGGTGGCGCGTCAAGTCGTCCGGCAGCGACACCACGGCGCAGTTCCACGGCGAAAACGCATACGGGACGTTGGCCAGCTCAAACGAGAGCCAATACGCTTCCTTGTCTCCCCTACAAACGTCCGAATGGTCAAATGCGAACGCGCCTCCGATCGCACCAGGAAAACGTGATCTGGTCTTGAAATCGCTTGGTTGTGACAAGGTACCACAGCGTGCGAAGAACGTGCGGCCCGGCGCGGCGCTTGTCGATCACGACGACGGACGAGTCTTGCTCGTGAGCAGTGTGTTTGTTCCAGACCATCGACTGCCGCATGGTGTTCGAGACGGGTGGCCGCTCCAACTGGACGGCGTCGTACGGGAACGTGTCAAAGAAATCGTCGATAAAGGTCTTGCCGGGGCCGACGTCCTGGTTCAGGAACTGACTAAAGTCCAACACGCGGTCGTAGAAGAACAGGGTGCCAGTGTAGCGGACGGGCGAGGACGCCCAGAGCAAGGCTGGATCGTGCAGGAAGATCGCGTCGGCATCCACGAGCATCACGCTGGGAAATGGCGCAAACACGAGCGCGACGGGCTTGAGCCAAACGTTCTGGAAGCGGCGCGCGACCGCTTGGTCTGAAAACACATGGGAGGAGACGAGGATCGAGCACACGTCAACGACTTCGACGTTGGTGTCCAGGCCATGCAGCGCATTCGACGCGCTCGACGACAGCTCGTTCGAGAGGCAGTGGTAGACTTGGATTGGGTCTGTGTTGCCAAGGGCGCGAAGCTCCTGAATGAGCGACACCCCCATCGGCACGATCGCATTGTGCACGCACATGACGATGCCACGACTGGCTGATGCAAATTTGGACGGGAACGCCTTGGTGTCCGCGTTGAAAACGTGATCGAATGCCACGTCTGCGGCCGTCCATGGCGGCGAATGTGCTGTGGGACTGGCGGAAGGCTCAGAATCCGTAGAATTTGGCGGCGTTGTCGAGAATGACGTGGCAGGCTCTGAAGTGACGTGAGGGGGTGGGTCCTGCTTGGCTGGAGGTGCTGGGTTCGTCGTCGAGTGGGCCGTCGATGCGAGAGCTACAACCGAGTCCGCCGTGCGGAGGAGCGCTCGAGGGCTTTCTTGCTGCACCTCCGACACAACGCTGAAGATGTTGTGAAAGACGACAACTTGGCCGCACATGCAAAGGGCAAACACGGTCCCGATCACAACGAAGATGGAGATTCTGCGGCGGGAGGACCCCGAGGGCTGTGCCATGCTTACCAAAGTGGTAGGAAAACCGCACGGGTTGTTGGTCTGGCTGCTAAAAATACTATGGCCCGTGCACCAAGACCACGAATCAAACAAAGGATTTACAAGGGTCCAGCAGGATGAAGCTGTTGTTGCTGGAATCACGTCGGGCCTGGTGGGAGGGGGGAAGGAAGTGCTTTTCGGAGTAAATTCACAACAAACTGCTGGTGGGTGTCGCCATGTGCACCCTGGCGGCTCGAACATCAACCCTGTGGCCGCCAGTGGCGACGAAATGTATCGCGGTGCAAATGATTTGTGTGCATCTGTCAAGTCAAATCCAACGCACTCGGCCGCCATCGATTATTCGCAGGCTGATGACTAGACTTGTTTGGTGACTGTCGCAGCGCAATGTCAAGACGTTCCGCCGTCACTTCTGGCATGTGTTGATCGTCAAGCTGAATTCGCCACACGCCATCGCCTGGGGCCAACGGCATGTTCGCAAATACCACTGACGGTCACAGTTGAGAGTGTACAGTCTAAACGGATGATGTTCTTGATCGTGGCAGACGTCGCAACGAGCAAGGCAGGGAGCCTTGGAAGCTGCCTCCAACATGCCAAACCCCACGGGAAACATCGTCAACCCACGCACACTCTACTTGGTCGTGTGCACCGGTCGCGAGTGTCCAAACGCTGTTGAGGCGACCACGGCGAGAACAATCCGACGACATATTTGGCATGCAAGCGTTTGATTGGTAGAAAATTGAAACGGACGAAATATGAGCCAATCAAACGCCCCTTCATTAAAACTTCCATGGAAGTCCATGGAACGAACTCAAAACCACGTGGACGTGGTTTTCCCGGCGAGGCGATTCCGGCGGAAGCGGATGGCATCTTCATGCAGGTCCACGGTGTTGAGCATCGTCTCAAGGAATCCCGCGAGTTGAATCGTCTTGTCTTGGTGCCGAATGACGGGTGGGAACCCCCCTTTTCGCGCCAGAATGTTCCCAAGCAGCCGTGCGCACCTGATGCACACATATAGTCACGACCGCACAACATGTCGTGCTGCATCACCTTCCATTGCCATCGTAGAACGGATGAATATAAAACACGAGGGCAGAAAACGCGTAGTAGGCGCGGAGGAGTGGGTGCGGAAGCGCCGCTTCATCGTTCAGTGTTGCAACGTACTCGCGCAGGGCCGGTTCGATCTCCACCGCGGGGAGGAATACGCGATAAATGCGCTCCGAGGCATAGCCCACAGCTGCATCTTCACGGATAGCCCCTGCTCCGTTTAAATGACTTCAACCGCGTTGGCAACAGCATCGCAACCACGTACCCCCTCCGTCTCCATGTTCAAAAATTGCATCGTGCAAAGCCTTGACTTGGTCGAATGTGATCACGCAAGTCGTGTCGTCCAAGATGGTGTTGAGTGCAGTCAGCACACTGCTTTTGTCTGACACGCCTGCGGGGGATCTCCTGAAGGACGAAGTGGCTCAGCGACCATCGAAAGCAGGTCAAAAAAATGTTACCGAAACAGAGTGCGCTTGTCGTGTGCGTTGCCGACAGTGTCGTAAAGATCGGTCATCGTCCACTTGGTCGTGCGAAAGGAGTCTTGGCTTCGAAGGTTGGCAAGTTTGGCTTTTCCGATGAACCGATCGAATTCACCCAGCAGCGTGCGAGGCAGCTAGACATGGCGACTCGTGAGGGACCATCATGGCGAGATGCATCTCGACTCCACCTCTTGGAATTCCCGCATCACGGGTGATCGAAGGCGGAGGAACAGCGACGACTCCTTTACTCCTACATTTCCACTCGTCAGCGCCACGTCGTTCGTGCTAGGCGTCGAGTCCCCACGTTGTTTCGATGGCGACGGTTGTGCCATCGGTGGGACTGCCACGGGCAAA